TACAGCGAGATAAACAAATTGCTCAACAGCGGCGACGGAAGAAAAGCACTCCGCGGCCTCCGAAAATGAATTTTTCCTTCGCTTTCCTTCTCTTTCTCTCTCCTCAGATATTTTCGTTTTTATAAAATGATTTTCTCTCTCCTCAAATCGAGCTGATTTCCTTATAACATTAGTCTGCTCGGGGCAACACTTTGAGGATATTACCCGCTACGAGCAGCACCGTGCTGAGGATTTAGCCCAATTTGACAGTTTCCTTACTCAGCAACAGCAGCAGCATGACCAGGACATTGCCCTGGTTCAATGCTCAGTTCACCACACTTGCCACCTACTTTCAGCAGCCACCTCCACCACCTCCATCAGATAATCTAGATCCCTCACTTTTTTAGTCTGTACTTTGTGTTGTTTGTTTCCTATCCTTTTTAGTTTGCTTGTTAGTCTTTTGTGATGCTTTTCTTTTGTTTCCGGACCCTCTTTTTGTGATGACAAAAGGGGGAGTAGGGTGTAGGAAAAAGCTGTTGGGTTTTGGGTTTGTAACTTTTAAATTTTAATGAAATTTTTCCTACTTGTGTTTTGCCATCATCAAAAAGGGGGAGATTGTTGCAAATCTATTTTTTCATGGCTTGTGTTTTGATGATTGACAAACACTACTTCTCTTGGACTACTTGTTGCTTCTAACTCAAAATTACCAACTTAACTTAATGTTTTTCGTCCTTCTTATAACATTTATTAAGTTGGTTTTGATTATCTTCAAATTCAAAATTAACCACTTTACACTCAAATTCAATTAGAATTAAAATTGACTACTTCAAATTGAGTTAAGTTTCATTTGGGAGGGCTTTAAGAAAACCGTTCCAAATGAACCTGCTCAAACTCACTCAGAATTACCACTAACAGAGTAACAGCTAGTAGATTTTTTTTCCCTTTATGATCGGACATAATCAAGGCCTGCAAATTTCAAATCAACGGTTCATTTCATTTCCATAAATTTTCTTTTTTCACCCCAATGCAAACTCAAAAATCCCCCAAAAATTTAGCTAAATTAGCAAAAGAGAAAGCAAGGTTTACTTATGGCCATAGAGAAAATTTTTTATTGGTATATAAAAACATAGCCATGCACATTTTTTTAAAAAAATGGAAGCCTGTGAGACTATTAAGCCATTTCCTCATTGAATGGATCAATAATATTCCTCAATGAATTTACACATTATCTACATCAACCTTTTTTTTCTTCTTTTGTGAGGTTTTCAACATGTAATCTACACGATTGTCCAATCATTTACTTCGAGCGTTGGCTCAGAATTTGAAGCTCGTTTCAGCTTTGTTTGCTTCTTTGAAAATAAAGATTTCTTATCAAAGAGTTGGGAGAACACATGCATTTGTTTCTCATCAGAATTCTTCTCTTCCTTCGAAGGCTTTTTCCGTAATAAATTCCTTTCTTTCTTCATGAAATTGAGGTTTATTCTTTTGAAACGATTTTTTGGCTCCTCGTTTACTGTTTCTTCTGCTTGATCCATAATAGTGATGGCTTCTTCTGGATGGTTGACGATTGTCTCTACAGTTTCGTATACCTAAAAGGAAACGATGCAGTTTTATCTCAGTAGAAAATTTCTCAAGTGGTGCATTGGGGGAGCTGCAGTTGTTAGCAAAAATAGTTGTATACTGTTGTAATAATAGTAATAAAAAAAGAAGTATTACGTGCGGTGTTCGGACGCGTCGAAAAGCCAATCCGGATGCGCCATATCACCGAATACATAGTGCATTGGATGACGTGGCGCATCCGGATTGGTCTCCAGACACGTTCGGATTCTGCACAGAATAATCTCTCCAAAACTTTATTGTATTGAAGAGAGATTAGTAGAAGTAGATTTAATACAAACCTTGCAGATATCGCCAATATTGTCACTTGAAATGCCATTTTGGCAAGTTGTGATGACCCAATCTTTACAATCAAAGAAAATTTTTGACACATTGCTGTCTGGTGAAATGGAAGCTTCTGCAATTGTGAAGGCTGAGCAGAGCTGCAGGTTTCATGGAGTAAGATAGTTATTGGAAAAAAAAAAAGAGTTTGTAAGATACACTCAATTTCCCACCTGATAATGCCAGTATACTAATAAGTGGAAATAGGAATTATATCAGGAGAATATAAATTTGTAATTATATCATGTAATAATCTGAAACAATAAATAATCCTTCTCGATTTAAAATGTTGAATAGCATATCATGAGTAATATGTAGTTAATCTTAAATTGCCAGGGGGGGTCATTAATGCTGGAGATTTAGGCTTGTTTGGAACGGCTTTCTCACTACCTCTTAAAGCGGCTTTTAAGTACAAAAATTAAAATTTTTGTACTAGAAAGCCGCTTTAAGAAGCAGTAAGAAAGCCGTCCAAAATGAAACCTTAGTAAGAAAGTGATTATATACTGAAATTTATAGAAGACATATTTGACCTTAAGAAAATAGAAGATATGTCAAGAGCATGTAAATAATTCACTGCATTTCAATGGTGAAAGGCTTTGGCTCTCCCACAGGCAGTGAGGGTTTGAGCAATGGAATGATGTGTTTTAGTTTGTAGGTAAATTCGTTCAAGATATTTAAAAAAAAAGTAGTTGCGCAATGCTATTTATTATCAATAAACAAAAGAAAAAAGGTTACCAATATGTACTACAACTCAAGGAAAAATAAATATTTAGAGAGTCCCAATAAAAGCCTATTCTGCTCTGTAGGCCATACAAATTAATTATACATTGTGAAGCTTTGGATGAGTTTTACCCAAAATAAACCAGGGGCACAAATCTAAATGAATATAATTCGAGAGAGAATAATTTCATTAGGACCTTCATAAGAGGGCAAGCATGGAAATGGCCTCGTCAAGTAAGAGGGCTTGGTTTGATCAAATTATCCAGTTAAATATAGTTCAGGAAATTTAAAGTGTTAATGCACCTCCACAAATCAATGGAAAGCCATTTAACAAACAGCATGTTAAGAAGAAAATGCATACAATGAATCAATAGAGCAAATATAGTGTTTAATGACACGAAAGGGTTTAAGATGTGAAGATGCAAGGCTTTTAGCTTCAAAATCTCCCGGTAATGGCATTTAATTCCTTGGGTTAGAGGTCATCTGAAGGCAAGCAATACAGAGGATAAAACGCTGACAAGGGGAGGGAATTAATATTCATCATAACCCTCTTTACATACTTATATAATCACTTTAAGGACTACTGTTGTTACTAAGCATATATCCATTACATAATTCAGCTATTAATACAATTACCAATAACCTTAAATAACTTCCCCTGGATGTTAATATTCCCATTACAACAACTTGAGTGTAGCTTCCTCAAGTCCCCTACTCGACGTTGGTTGCTGTCGTCGGACTCAATGAGTGGTGCGATGGGAAACATAAGTAAATGCATCCCCTCCAGAAGATCCATGTCCTCAAGGATAAAGTTGAGATGGAACTTCGGGTATTGTCGTTCATCTTCCCAAGTGGCTTCTTTGATGGATGCCCCCTTCCATTTGACTAAGATTTTGAGGGTTAAGTCGGTATTTGACTTTGTGAATAATATGATGATTTAATATTTGAATCCGGTCATCTATTACGAAATTTTAAAAAGTTAATTGTGGTAATGATTGCTCCCCAAATATTTCGGTAATAAGCTTACGTAGAAGACATTATGAGCTGGGAGTCAGGGGGAAGGTGGGCTTTGGAAGTTACTATCCCCATTAAGGGTGTAAACAAGTCGAGTCGAGTCGAGTTTTGTCCCTTATCAAACTCGGCTTGTTAGATGGAAGTGAGCTCTAACTCGAGCTCGAGCTCGTCTCACTGTAAACGAGCTCGAGCCAGCTTGGGATCCATGGGCGGAAATTTTTAAATTTAGGCGGGATTTTTAAAAATTAGGAGGGATTTTTAAAAATTAGATCGACATAGTCCCCTTCGACAAAGGAGACTTCACGGAGGTGACAACTGTTGGGCCTTCGTCCTCTTATGTGCGAGAGATATGCTGTGTCAAAGTTCATGGAGAATGGTATCCTAACCTCGTAGATATTTGTAAGTGGCTGGGCAGAAAGTCGTTCGAAAAGTTTGCTAAATATCGATATATCATAACTCTTATAAAATCTGACCAAATTAAAATTAAAAATACAAAATAATCAAAATCACTTAAATCAGAGGTAGATTAATGATAGTCTACCTCGAGATGAGCAAATTTCTCAACTGGACCAACCAGCAAAAACCACTATACCATCTCTAAACCCAACTTTCTCTCTCCTCCTCTCTCTCTTTTTCTTCTCAAAATCCGTCTTTTCATGCTCTGTTAAAACTATTTGGGAAAGGGGAAATGAATATTTAGTTTACAGAAAATGGGAGGAAATTTTTATAATAAAATATATTAAGGACATATTCAAAATTATGCTAATTGTTCAATTTTTAGCAGCATAAAATCCTTATAAATTCTATTAAATCTTAAAATTCAGAGCTCTAAAAATTATAAAAAAAATATTCATAAAATAGCCTAATATGTCTAAAATACTGGTGAAAGTAAGCAATGTAGACAAGAAATAGCAATATAAGAGAAGAAGAAAGGAATTAATATTCACATTAATCCTCCTTGCATGCTTATGTCCTCTTTTTAAGGACTATAATGATAACCACCCATATATATCCATTTCATAATTCAACTACTAATGCAACTTGCTTAAAAAAAAAACTACTAATGCAGTTCTATTGTATGTAATAACTGCCATCCCATTAACCAAAAAGCTTCACTGGGCCCCTATTCATGTTGATTGTTATTGCCAGGCCCAGTGAGTGGTGAGAGGCATCCGTAACACTATTGATACAGTATGATAGACTTCTAAAGGGATGTATTTACAAAATCGGGATTCCATGAGCTTGTTCTATAGATTTATATAATCATTAACAGCATAAAACTAACGGACACACAAAGTAGACTGGTTCAATAATATTAATGCATCAAAAACACCACAACTAAGTCAAGAAAATTCAAGAGTATGAAGCACATGCAGAATAGAAACTTTGGAGAATCTAAACTTTGAAAGATGATGCAGGTATTTGAAAGCTTTTACGTGAATTAAGAATAAGAACTTCAGAGTAAGACAAATACAATATGGTAACCTTGATAACCCCTCACATCTTTTATAGGAAATTATCTTCCATTTCTTTCTGTTGTTTTCGCCATTGTGGAAAGAGGAATGCCATTAAGGGCACTCTCATTAATATTCGCCAAGCAGCACTGGGCAATTCTATCTTTTCTTTTTAATCAAGAAAAAAATGCCAACGTTTATGTCATTATCATCATAGGCCATCACTTAAATACTGAGGAATACAAACTAAATTGACAAGCAATGAAGCAATATCCCATTCTACGAATAACAAGCATGGATACACTTGCATGCGGACAAGTTTTCACATTTTGCCAGTCCTTGTTTTCTGATGGACTGAGAATAAACTAAAATGATCCACATGAATAACTTTGGCTTGAATAGGACGAAAAATTCAAAATGAAAATATCCATACCATGGACATAAAAAGCTGCCCAAAAAGCTCAGAAGGTCGAATGTCCTCCAAGGTGGTGAATATGCTTTCACTGCATGATCAAAGCAAGTTGGGATTATATTAAAATCAAAAGAAGAGGAAAAAAAGCTACCAAAAAACTTCTTACACGGCTAAATCTTCATCAAAAACTGGTGTTTGTTGAACAGCAGGCAATGCTTTAGCAGATTTCCACAATTCCTGCCACAAGTTGCCTGCAAATTAAAGACCACATTTTTTGCCCAAAATAAAAGAGAAGTGGATCAGTTCTCAAACCCCTTGTTACACGATAAGAAAATAAAAATAAAAAGATTTGGTAGAAAGAAATAGCTAGGGACATCAACTGAATTAGATACCAAACTAGAAAGAATATTTACTTATACGCAAGCAAAGTCATTCTGCTAAAGATGAACTATTTAGGAACTGATCCAAAAAAAATACCTTGCTTTGTTATTTTCACTTAACACTTGCAGGATCAATACCCATACACACTTTCTAAGCATCGTAGGGATCAAGACTTGCACATGCCTTTCTTAATTAGATAAGACAGACAATAAAAGCGTGGTTATGATGCCTCTTGCACAACACCATATCCTTTTTCGGCATGATTGATAGTCCACACATTCACTAGCATCTCATACGAGTGATGCAAATAACTTAATAGGACTTTTTGGAAAATTATCTAAATTGAACTCATGACGAATGGAACACTCGTACTCATTGATAAACATAAAATAAATGAGTTAGAAACAAACAAAAATCTTAAAGTGTAAAACTAAAAGAATGCATAACAAGATGAAGTGTAATATATAAATACTAAAAGCACATGTACAGATTTCAACAAAGTCCTTGTCGTGAATAGGGAATAAGACTCAGAACCAAGATGTGGTAAATGTGAAAGAGAGAAAAGCTCTTCCAAAAAATCTTAAAATAATTCAGTCATAACCATCCAATACATAGCTCTAGGGGTCACACTTATAATAAAAGGGACCCTAGCGTTATAAGAAAATAAAATAAGCAAATATGAAATAAATCCTAATATAAATAAAAAAATCTAATATTCCTTAGATACAAATCTCTAAATAAAGAAAAAACAAATCTAATGAATCATACCATATCTCACCACTCTCAAATGTCATTGCACCCATCAAGAGTTTATTGAAACATATTCAAATTTTGATCATCCGTCATCAAAATTATTGAACCACTATTGCATGTTGTTAAGATTTACATGATTGCTATAGTCCATTGTTGAAATATTACGGGGAGGGGTGAGAGGCAAGGGAAGGGATTGCTTTTTTAAATAATGTTGAATTGTTTTAAATTAAGATTAATGGATGTTTAGCTTTTTGCCACAGGGACATCATTAAGATTTACCCAAAATTATTTATTTGGAGTTAAGATGATGATATTATTGATAGATGATGAAGGATTTAGGTGGTATTGACGTGAATACAAAAAATTTAATGTCAATATATATTATGTGACAACATTTTCATAGAGGACATATAGATTTCCCAAAAAAAATTGATGTGAAGTAGATGTAGTGGGACAAAACTACGTCTATGTTTGACTTTTGGTGTTTAAGCATAGAAATAAAATAAATTAGAAGAAAAAGGACGTTTGTATCCAATGGGTAAGAAAAAAGTAATAGGTTGGGTTAGAAATTCCATTGTCCCTTAAAGGAAAAAAAGAGATAGAGAGGAACAAAGGGGGAAAAGAGAGAGAGAGAGAGAGAGAGAGAGAGAGAGAGAGAGAGAGGAACAAAGGGGTTGAAAATAACGCAACTTGTGCATGCAAATTTAAATGCTTTGGAATCCAGTCACATCGCCCATCATCATCAATAGCAGCAAAAGCAACCAAAACCTAACTATTACAGGTCAGCATAGTCTTATTGCAATTATCACATTTCATTCATGTTTCATGATGCCTTTTAGGTGAAACTAACGCTTTTAGCCTCATGTAGTTCTTTCAAGGCTAAACAACAATTGGTTAAAACTGTTTTTTATTTAGCCTTATTTGGTTCTGTTAACACAACGATTTGGAAAAAAATATACTCCTACATTTGCAATTATCTAAAATACCCAGAAGTAGTAATCCTAATCTAGCCGTTTTGACTAGATGTAGACATTGTCCTATGAATAATTAGAACGAAAAAGGGAAAATTTTGAAATTAGTAAACTTGTGACCAAAAATGTATGCCAGCCACCAGAAATTTCTGATTCCAACCAGAAGACCATAAGGCAGAGGTGATGCGCACAAGTATAATCGATACTTCTTCAAGAACTACAAGAGAGAAAAATTACACCTTCTTTTAGCATTCTTTTACTTAATCTGCCACGTCTTGATGAGCCTTCTCCATCAACAGAAACATTAGCCTCACTAATTGAGTCGATCTCTGTCCAGTCTGGGGGAGAGTGCCACCTTATGAAGTCTTCTAAAGCACAACCAGGATTCGCAGCCTGTTAAGAAGTGTATATTATTGAAGTTGTAAGAGACAATATCAGAATGATCTAATTTAGCTTGCAGTCCACTAAACGAATAACAATACAAGGATTTTAGGATTGTCTTTTGCACATCTAAGACTTGCCTTGAAAGCTTGCATGTCGGAGAGGAGTTGAGAGCATCCAACACCGAAACTGCCAGTTTAAAAAACTACAATAAATTGTTAAGACAGTCATGCTTCCAAAAGCAATTATCGTAAAGCAATTTAAATGATAAATACTCTATGGAGTTTAGACACCTCCGAGATTTGAATGTCCGAACATCTGACCATGATTTTCAATGTCTTTATATGTGGTTTCTTTTTTTTTTTTTTGGGTTGTTGATGATCATGCTTGTCTTCTAATTATGCAAAACCCTAAGGGGCTTCCATCCTGTAGGACTTTTGCGATTCTTCCCATTGCCCGGTTCATTTCATTGTATTGCTCACTATTTCTATTTTTTGTGATTCCTCTGTATCACTGATTCAACCTAGCATCTCCTTAAGGGTCCTCTGCCAGGATACAGGGTTGTTGTTTTTCCGCCTTTAAGCAATTAATATGAGGTTATACTAGTGTGATGTAATTGAAAACTATAAAGTTTTGGGCAAGATATCTCTTTTTATAGACGTGATGACTGAATTGTTATTTGGCGACTTCTTTCATTAGCTCTATTGCTATTCACTAAACTAAGTGGTAGATTTTCATGTGAGATTGATCATTTTTACAACTTCAATTTTTTAATTGTGATGTGAATATCCAATCCAATAGGTGATTCTTCTATGATCCTTAATTTCTAAGCAAAATTATTGTTTAGATGACATGCACATTATAACTTTTTTAGAAGGGTAATCTTACTTGTATGTAAATTTTACATATTTATGATTTACATTTATAGTGAGGGTTAATTGTCAAAATTAGAAGTTGTGAACTGCAATTAAATGCATGATTTAGTGCATCAACTCCTATATATGCATTAGAAAATACATCCTAAGATGCCCTGCATCAAATTTAATGTTAGGGTTAGCTTTGCATCATTTTGCCAACTAGAAGTAAGACATAATAATTAGATCAATTAACAAAACAAACAAAGAAGAAATCTAAACAAAGTCAATTAAAATATGATTATAAACAACTTCAATATAATTCTTATAAGAAAAAAAAAACTACATTCCAACATTTGATGGGTGATATAATAATATACAATTTTCAAATTGAATCAATAACTTGAAAATTTCCTTTGGAAGTTCAAATATATCTAATTCATAAAAAGTTGAATTTGCTAAATCAAAAGAATAGGACATACTACATATTATTGAAAAAGTATTGCTGCAATATTTATATAGACTGATATAAAACATAAATTTTAAAAACAATATTTGCATTCCGTGAATTAAGAACCAATTGTTTGAAAATTATAAGAACCATTGATCTCTAGCGTTGCTGCAATTCTCCAAGAAGGAAAACGGCCACTGCTTGCTATTTTTTTCAGGAAATATGAGTTGGGACAGCAATTGGTTGTTTTCCAGTGGTAGAAAAATTCAAAAACAGGGAAATCCATCAATACTGAGAAATCTAAACAAGAAGAGGGTTTACGGATCACTTGGTAGTGTCATTGGTCCGATTTAGTTCCTGGGTTACTCGCTAGTTCATTTTGGTATGCCTGGATAAGTTTGTTATGGTTCTTCCGCTTATACACAATGAATATCGTTAGAGCCTTACTGATCATTACTTGGAGTCTTGAATGGTCCCTGCAATCTCTTGCGTGATGGGATTTCCATCCCTATTGATTATGGGAATTGAGTTTCTGATTGAGTTTAAATAGATGCTGATCTTGATTGTAAAATAAAAGATTTTGTGATTATAAATATGGGTTCTTGAAACATAAAAAATTCAAATCTTTTCATATTTCACTTGTGAGTTATATTATTTTTCTCTTTATTTTAATGTTGATTGGCTATGATTCATTCTACCATAATCATTTGGGAATTATAATTTTTTGGGTAAGCTATCTAATTGTAATTGCTTGAGGCCAAGACTGCAATTTCTAACCTCTAAAATTAGTGATTTTTTTTTTTTGCTTCTAATTGATTATTTTCAAATTAGATATAATCTGGCTTTTACGATTGCAAAATTAGTTTTTTATCAAACGGGTTATTCCTTTATGATCCTTAATTTCTATGCAAGATTTATACTAGATGACATTTAAATTGCTGGATAGCTCAAAGATTTAGCAAATTTTATCAGGAAAAACACAAGAATAATAATATCATATTGCAGCACACTTGTTCAGCCAAAAAAAAAAAAGAAAAACATTCATCCTAAACACTAGTGAAGGTGTCAATCAATGCATGAATTAAATGTTCGTCATAATAAAAAGAATGTAGATTAGAGAAACATTAAAACTCAGCATAAAGCTATAGGAAAGGGGCGTAATGCTAAACCAAACAAAAATCTAAAAGCCTAATGTACTAAGAAAAAAATATTGATTATACTCAGCAAAGGAAATAACCTGCCAGTACGCAGCACTAGTTCCTCAGTTTCTTTAATAAGCTCTTCTGTTAAAATGGGACCCTCCTGCAAATTAGTGAGAGTGCAAAATTAGACAAAATATAAGAACAAGCATTTTGAGACCATTTATTCCAAAAAGTGGTACCTGTGTAACTGGAGAACATATGGGTTCACCAGTTTCCAACATTGTTAAATTTTCAGAAAGATGATCAACACCAAGTCTAAGAACATACTCTCCAGAGATAAGTCTAGCATATCTCATGCAATTTGAATACTTAGGAGAATCAACCAAATCATTGTTGTCTGAACTAGCTTCCTTTATTACAGAATCCAACAACTCAATAGCAGCATTTCGTCGTACTTTCCTAGAAATACAACAATTAATCACCTGCAATTGCTGATGCAGCAGACATGAATCTAAATCAGGATTTGCATCCAGTGGCATTCGTGGAACTGGTAATCCTTCAGACCATAGTTTCCTAAGCTGCAGGCATAAGATGTTAAGTACACAAACTAAAGAATAAAAAAGTTTTGTATTTCAAAGGTCAAATCATATTCTACATTATTAACAATGGATATTGAAAGCCAAGAAAGTGGATGCGTTGGAGGAACGCCACGAAGTGGAGAACGGACAAATGAAATATGAAATTTTTTATCTACAAACTCAAGTTTTAGATTTAAAGAAAGACATTTCAGCCATCCACGAGAAGATGAATGAGAATTTTTCTAGCCTGGGAGAGATGTTGACGAAAGTGCTTGAGGGCCAAAACATAATATCACCATAGAAGGGGAGGGAAGGCGCCGACAACTAGGAAGAAGGGAAAACCCCTAAGCCAAACAGGCAAAGGGAGATCAAGAGGTGGAGACTCAAAAGGGAGAAGAGAAAATACCTCTCTTAGAGCCTATTGCTATAAAGGAGTTGAGCAGAGGGTATGAGGAGAGGCGTGATGAGAGGCAAGAATGAAGATGTGCTGATTTGGAGAGGAGAGAGGCTAGATTGGAAAGAGAAATGGGTAATTATGATCAAAGGGGGGCTGAATTTGAAAGGGGAAGAGTTTCTTATGATCCAAGGGATGCTGAATTTGAGAGAAAAAGGAGGGAATTTGATGAAAGGCTGGGGTATGAACGTAAAAGGGATGATTGAGATACTTGGTGGGAACCACCCTCTTGGGGAATAGGAAATTATGAAGGGAACAGAGGGAACTGAGGCGATCTGAGGTGAGGAAATTGAAGATGCCTATCTTTGAGGGAGAGTATGCACATGGGTGGATCTATATGGTGGAAATGTATTGTCAATAGGTTGACAGAGGAGGAGAAGCTCACGGTAGCCGGGATGTGCTTGGAAGGAAAAGCTTTAGCATGGAGCCAATGGAGGGATACGAGGCGACCGATAAGGACCTGGAGGGAATTTAAGAAATGCATGATGGAATGCTTCCAAACCAGCAGGCGATGAAACTTCTATGAGCAGTTCTTCGCTTTGACACAGGATGATTCAGTGATGGAGTACTGAGAGATTCAAGTACCTTGCTAGTCGATTGGACCATCTTCCTGAGACAGTTCTAGATGGAAATTTCATGAAGGAACTGACGCCAAAGATCCGGGCAACGATTAGAGTAATGAGGCCTCGTGATTTGGGAGAGGCTATGGAGCTCACTCAGTTAGTGGAGGATCAGAGACACCTAGAGAGAGAGAGAGAGAGAAGGGAGGCAGCAACTCAAGAGGTCCAACCAGAAGGACCACCACGTTTCTGGCACCCAAGGAGCCAATGCTGGGTACTCTTTGAGAGACTTCGAAGGAGAAGACTGTAGGAGTAAGACCGGGGGACAACTTCAAGAAGATCACAGAAATGAATTACAGGAGAAAAGAGAGAAGGGGGTCTGTTTCAGATGTGACGAGAGATATACGCCAGGGCACGGGTGTAAGGATCGAACTCTTCAGGTTCTTACCGTTTGTGATAATGATGGAATGTAGGAGGGTGTCGTCCTTCCACCTTGAGGACAAGGTGGATCTTTGGGAGGGGAGTATTGTTAGACCGATCCATACGGGGCCGGCTCAACATAATAAGAGGCGGAAGAGTTTGCCTCCTGTATGAGCCGCACGGGCTGCAAAATCCACGAAAGCCAATTTGGAAGAATTTTTTAGGGAATTAAGAGGGAAGATTGAATGTATGGACTATTTAGAAATTTCCTTTTTGATTGTAGGCACTAAATAGTTTATTTTCCTAGGGTTAGAGTATCTAGAATTTGAATGAAATTTGAGATCTCTTCGGTTTAGGTTTCCTTTGGGCTCTAGCAGCGTCTAGAGAATTTGGGAGAGATCGATCATCCTCTTGAATTGAGGATCAACTGTATCTTGCTATTTTTTTTCTATTTCATCAAATAATACAAATTATCTACTATTTTCGTGATTTTGTGTGGATGTTTTTGGAGAATTCTTGCTGTTTTTCGAATATTGATAGGAAATAATTGAGAGCTACAAGTATTTCCTATCAAAAACATCCATCTTGACACTCTAATTTTGCCACAAATTTAGTTGTTGGTGACTTCATTATTGCCAACCCTCAGCTCCATTTAGTATAACTGATCCAATCATAGTTTTATAAAATTTATCTTATACTATTCTCTTATAAAACAATACTGTTGAGGCAATTCTTCATTTTAAATACATAGCCTTAACTCTAGATATTATATCCTGTTCTACATTCGTATTCTTTTATATAATAAATCCAATATTACCATGAAATTAGATAAAAAAGAATATTTTCATTAGAAAATGAAATTAATGTCCTTTCTAATGAATCAAAGAGGATAACTTACTTTAATGACAACACAACCCCAAAAGGATGCCATTTTTTGAATGGATTTGAAGCCTCCAATAACTTCTGAAAGTTTGACAGTAAAGCTATCAGGGGGTGCACCTCGGATGTCTTTAGGCATAAATGTGATAGGAAGGGAAGTTAAACCAGATCCATAATTCATATGAGTATAGGTTTCCTCTGCGAATATCTTGCAGGTATTACAATGAATGTAAAGAACCATCAAGGGAATTTACTACCCTACGAGTACAAATTATCAAATAGAACAAACCAAGAAGGCCCTACCTGAATCAAATAAAAGCTGCATCTTGAAGTGAAGCTCATCATCATCATAAAAATTAGAAAATGATTTGTCATCCTTTTCACGAAGAACCAAGGACTTAACAGAAGAAAAGCTCAAGCCTGATTTTTCCTTGGCAGGCAATGGATCCTCAACTAAATTCAAAAGATTTTTTGAGCATATAAAATTCTTCCCAGTCCTGTTGCAAAGAAGCAGAGCTCCTAAGATATTGTTAGTCATATGCAAATATCACACTGAACAGTCATCCAGAACACACGAGACATTTTTTCTGAAACATATACGGAAGGGACATATGGACAAGACCAAATAAATATGGGATTACAAAATTATTTTTTACAGAAATATCTTACTCATAAGCTGCCGCCAACTGCTTTAGAACAGAAGCTGGAGGAATTGTTAACTTATTACAGAAATTATTCACATAATGTTCTGCAGCAGAGCATGCTTCAGGAATCTGCAAGTGTGCAAATCATTATACAAAAAGAACCCACCAGCAATTTTTCAGGAAATATTCTCCACTGCAGGGAATGCACAGAGGTAGAAGAATGCATATTTATCATTAAGTATTGATAGAAAGAACCCAATGAATTCTGTAGGTTCACATGCTAAAACAACACAAATAAAACCTTTTTCATTTATCAAAGTCTTATTAACTCAAATTCACCAAGTTTAGTATATTGGTGAGATTATAATGAAATAGTATCATTGAGTGCTTAAAAATAAGTTCAAATACTTGAAGGTTGGAGAAGCAATATTGAATTAGGTTTCATTTGGGACGGCTTTTACTGCATCTTAAAACGGCTTTCTAGTACAAAATTTTTAATTTTTAACTAAAAAGTCATTTTAAGAAGCAGTAAAAAAGCCGTCCCAAAGGAAGCCTTAATTTTTAAGGCTGCGGCTTTGGAAAATATTCATTACAATGGCAATATTGAATGCAGATTTTGGCATACTAGTTCAAACCGTAGATCAGCAATATCCACATACTTACTATGCTGAACAAGTTTTACGATTGCCCATCAGTTAAGATTTAGCAACTTTACAAATAGAACCTTTTAAAAGATCGTGCTAAATGTTCTTGAAATACAGCCGAGTCAGCCAAAGAAAAATCAACCAAAAATAAATTATCATTAAATCTAGCACATTCATGTTTGATTCCCATAAAAACATCAAAATCTATGATCCAAGGAATTCCATAAATCAATCAATTTCCAATTAACAGCGTAGATGTTGAGTTCCATGAGAAGCATTTCGACAATTCAATTCAACAGACATACAAACATGTGCACCAAAAAGTTAAGAAAAGGAAAACTAAAAACAAATATGAAACCAAGAAATTCACAGCGTATTGATCTAGAAAATTTCAACTGATTTTTTTCCAATGCGAGCATGCATACACATAAAAGTTAAAACTCGAAACCAAAAACAAAACAAAAAACTAACTAAGCTCACCTCCTCCCTTGGCTTGCTAAATCCATCATTTACTGCCGATTCCTGGTCCTCCATTTTCCTGAAATCCTTCTTCCCCTGCCCATCGGCATCTGCAGCGAACCACCATCAGAAACTATTCCAAAAACAATAATTATGAAAACATACAAACTCTACCCCGATCATTCTTCAAGTCCGCCTTGATCTCTGTGAGGACCTTTTCAGCTCGAGCCGCGGCGGAGTGTAGGGCGGTCTTGGCCCTAGACACGAAGGAGAGCGCGGGGAAAGAAGCCCCGCCGACGACTGTCGCGGTATCAACGGCGGTGTAGGAGGCGGACTCCATCCGATCAGCTTCGCGAGGGGTATCAAAGGAATGGATGGATGCGCATATTGTCGCTCACTACGTGTATGTAAAAATGTGAGAGTAGAGAAGGAAGACTAGAGGGACGGTAGCGCGACCCCACCTAAAGAGTTGGAAAAATAAGTAATTAAATTAAATTACTGATTAAAAAATTCAATCATTAGTAAATGCCTTCGGATAGTAATAGAGGACTTTAAAAATAGTAAGAAAATAATAACTTAATACGACGACACTAAATATAGTAGAATAGAAAGACGCTTATTTAAAATAAAAATTGTTAATATAATTTAAAATATATTCTTATCTCATATTTTTATTGGGGTTTTTACATACATAACCCCTAATATTTAATAGTCAATAATAATTAAATCATAAACTTCATAAATTAAAAAAATGAATTTCATATGAAATTTAAGTAAATAAAGGCGTTTATTTATGGAAATATATCAATCTTTGTTACTCCGAAATAAAATATGATATATAAGTAACTTATATTCCATAAATCCATGACTGTATATTCATAATTATAACTCATAAGAGTAAAGGTTCATTTAGGACGACTTTAACTTTTCATAAATGTGATTATAAAGTTGTTATAAGATCATTTTCAATCAAGTTGCATATTATTGTATGCGGCCCGCTGCAATTGAACTCAAAATCTGATGCCAAAAATCGTTAGGTAAACAGTGCAACGCCAAAATTAACGTTGGACTATTCACCTACGCAAAAATAAAATGATTACCTTTCGCACTCTGCTTAGCTTTGCAGGAAGCGCGCGAAACAGGAGAGAGCTACCTTCGCAAAAAAGCTCGCGAAAAAAGAAAAATACAGTTCCATTGGAGATGAACTGCCTCCTTTTGAAGTTTTACGGTATTTTAGAGTGGAAAATAGAGTTTTCATCAGAGATGCCCTAAAGAAAGTTATTTTTGGAAGTTATTATAGAAAGCAACTTCCTGCCAAAAAAATTATTGAAAGCAGAAAAAATTAGTAATAAAATATAAATTGTGGTTGATATCTAAAAAGCAAAGCAACAAGAACCTATCCCAAATGAAATCTAAAACTTTGTTTGGGACAACTTTTGTACTGTTTTCTAAAATAACTTTTCACTACAAAAAAAAATCAAATTCAAGAAATTTTTGTACTAAAAAGTTGTTTAGAAAGCAAGAGAAAAGTCATCCCATACGAAGCCTAAGGAAAAAAACCGAAGTCTAAGGAAAGTAGTTCTTGAAGCAGTCCGAAGAAGGATTTGGTGGATTACACAACCAAATGGTTTGCCAAGTCAAATACGGTGTTCCTATTGACTTTTGTGTGTATGTTGAGTTAGAAACTAGAAATTATTTATTGAAGCAATTTAATCTTAAGCCTTTCTTATTTTATACCGAATTTCAAAGATTAGATTTCCTGTAGATAAAGCTACTAATAACTTGTTTAACCAACTTATTGCTGAATACTCCACATTAAAATAAAGAGTTGACGTATATTTTAATTAAAAAATTTGAGCTAAGTTGAATGTTATCTTAATATAAACCTAATAAATTTAATATTTATCTTAATTAAATTTAGTCATATTTCATTAATTGTTATTTTATGTTCTAATTAATTTCATGTCTCCACTGTCATGAGAAATGATGAGGATGGTCTTAGGCTTTATTTGAGACAACTTTTTATTGCATTATGAAACAATTTCTTAGTATAATTTTTTTTTGAATTTGCAATTTTTGTATAAAAAATTTGCTTCATAAAGTACTAAGAAAACTATCCCAAATGGAGCCTTAGGCTTGGTTTGAGACAACTTTCTTATTGCTTTTTAAACCAGCTTTTTAGTACAAAATTTAAATTTTTTGTAGTATGAAGATACTTTAAGAAGCAGTAAGAAAGTTGTCTCAAAGAAAACCTTAGTAATATTCTTTGACTTTACTTTCTGTAAATATTAATATAATATCAGCATTGAAAAATAAAAATCAATGCAAAACATATGCACCCAATGCCCCAAAAAAAAAATGTGAACATTATTTTCAAAGTCATGGCACCACCATAAGCATTTATATCCTTCCTGTAACAATTAGAAAAAAAATATCAGGATTTCAAATGCCACATTTATGAATTATTAAGAAAATTTTAGGATTATCAGACTTGTGTATTTGTGACAATTGATTAAGAGACCTTGACTGAATTTTTATAGGAAGTCTTGACACATTTTTTTCCAAGTTGAAGTGAAGAATTGACCAGGACAGCGTCCATCTTCCATCAAATTTACAGCACAATTGTCATAAATTTAGAAAGTTTGCAAAGGGATCACCCATTCAAGGGGTGTTTTCATCATTAAATTCATATCAAAAAATGTTTTTTTAATTATAATAATTAGAAGTTCATCATACAATATTAAGATAATACTACTAAAACAACAACAATATCATGCTTTTATCCCACTATATGGGGTCAACTACATGAATTTCTTTTCTCCATTATGTGCTATTAAGAGTCAAATTCTTATTTAAATATGATAAATAAAGGTCATTTCTAATATTTTCTAACAAAGACTTTTTAGGCCTACATCTACCTTTCTTAACATAAGCCAAATCAAATACATCTATTTTCCTATCCAGCATCAGATGACCGCCGTTTTATGTGACCAAATCATCTAAGAGGACTCTCTCTAATCTTATCTTCCACAGAAGTTACTCCAACCTTTTCACATATATGCTAATTTTGAATCTGGTCTCATGGAGCTTTATCATATGATTTTTCTAAATCAACAATATCATATGAAGATCCTCCATATTCTCCCCATCCTTCTCCATCAAATATCTCAATAAATGTATAACTTCCATAGTAGACCTACCCGACATGAATCCAATTTGATTTTGAGAAACATTAGTATCATGTAGTAACATATGCTCCATAACTCTCTCCCATAGTTTTAAAGTATGACACATTAACTTGATTCCTCTATAATTCATACCATCTTGCACATCATCTTTATTCTTAAAAATAGGAATCAACACACTGATTATCTATTAATCTGACATATTTTTTGTCTTTAAAATAATATTAAAAACTTTCATAAGCCAATAAATTCATTCATCTCCTAAGCAATTCCAACCTCTATTGAATTATTATCAGGTCTAACAGCTTTTTCATACTTAATTTTCTTTAAAGTATCTCTAACTTCAATTTTACTAATACGCCAATAAAAAAAATATTTATTTTCATTTAGAATTACTAAAATCGATTGTATTCTCATAATATTCATTCAAAATTTTAAAAAAATACCTCATCCATATTTGTTGAATATCCTCTAATAAAAGTATTTTTTTATATTCATCCTTAATACACTTCACTTGAACTAAATGTTTACTACTTCTATCTCTTTATTTGGCTAACTTCTATATATATCTTTCGCTCTCCTTATTATCTAATATATTATATAAATCATTAAAAACTAAAATCTCAAAATTGTATATTACTTTCTTAGACTACTTGCTAATCTCTTTATATCTTTACCTATTATCATAATTTTTACATCTAAATCAATTTTTATAATAAATCTTTTTTATTTTTTCTTGCACATTTTAATTTCACTACTAACTAATTTTACTATTATGAGATTTTCCCTTTGATACTCCAAACATATCTTTTGCATCATTCTTAATACCACTTACTATTTTTTTCACATAACATTGGCTTCCTTATGCACAGACAAAATATTAAAATCTAGAATATTATTCTAAAAAATATTTTGTTTATATTCTTTTAATGCACCTAATTAATCATAAAATAATATTTTACTTTATTTTTTATATTATGTCACTTCATCTTAAAGTCTAAAACTAATAAGCAATGTTGAGTACATAAACTTCCATCTGAAATAAATTTACTATATTTGTAATCTAAATGATCTTTTTTTACTTATAAGAAAATAATCACTATTAATTTTTGCAACATTATCCTTCTAACTCTTATCTATAATCACACATACACCATTTCTAATATGACTCCTACCAAAATACCATATTTTAAATCATAAACTATCAATTTCCTTAGCTTTCTCTCTAACATATTTAATTTCTTGAATGTATAAAAAATAAAAAAATAAAATAAATTTTCTAAATGCATAATATATTTATCTTCCTATAAATCATAATATATATCAATTCCATTAATTTATGTGCAACAAAACTTTATATTCCAAGTTCATATCCTAATTTTAATTTCTTGAACTAGCTTCTTTGCCCACATCCGTCCATGATTTTGGAACCCTTGCCTATTTAACACTGCACTCGGGCATCAGTGCAACAGCCTTGCACACTTCTTATTGTATTCAAGTCATACAACGTGTTGCTTCCAGGGAAATGCCCTAACATTAACACAATGTAATTAATGATTTATGACATGATTATTCGACAAATTTTATGCCGGTTGTCGATTATTTAACGTAACTCTTCATTTATCTCATTCAAAATTTGGGACATAGTAACAACAGTATTATATTAAGTTAAGCCTAAAGAAATAATTTTTTTTTAAAAGCTCTAGTAGTCCAACTTCAGAATTTAAAGAACCATTTTCTTACAGCCAGCTCTACCAATAATGATTGATCTATAATCTAATATGTATTTTACATGAAAAAATAGCTTTCTAAACAAAATACATAATTCAGATTACAACATTTAGAATTCTGTTGCCCCATATATTTGAAGAAATTCACATTAATTCTTGTGTAAAGAACCCAGAGGAACACATCACATTCTGACATCGTAACAGCTGTAATTGTCTCCAACAACTTTGATAGTGTACATGCTGGAATCAGGCCACTGAGATCCTCTTCATTGTAATCTATAAGATAGCTCTTTAAGGCTTCATTTGGGACGACTTTCTCACTGCTTCTTAAAGCAGTTTTTTAATTCGAAAATTTTAATTTTTAAATTAGAAAGCTGCTTCAAGAAGCAAAAAGAAAGCCGTCCCAAACAAAGCATAAATCAGCTTTAGACTGGAGTTATGCCAAGGTTCCAGATGTTAGTACTTTGTTAAAATTTCAGCGCCGGTTTTGGTAATCAGAATTGTATGTTCGAATTGTGCAGCAGGAAGCCCATCTGCGGTGAGGGTAGTCCAGCCATCATTCCATGTCACACATTCAATGGTTCCCATGGTAAGAATTGGCTCTGAAAATATAATCGCCAGTTACAATGAAATACAACGTATACAAACAATGATGTGTAACGTATCACTCAGCTATGGCAAATGGAAAAGCTAAAAGTACTAAGAAAAAGTTTTCTTAGCGAGAAGATGATTGTCACAATGATGCAAATATTGCATTTGTGACGTTTGAAAGTTTTGAAGAGTAGGGAAAGCTTCCTCAAGACACCAACACCTCTCGTTTGAGAGAAATTATTCTGTGCGGAGGCCGGATACAAAATGTCGTTCGAGACCAACCAGAATGCGCCAGATCAGTAGTACCGAGCAAAGGGGTAACGTGACGCATTCTGATTGGTCTCTGGATGGAATTCGACGTCCACACAGACTAATTTTCCAGTTTCATCTCGGTCGTTTACTGTGACAAAAGGCCATAGACCTCCATCCATTGCAGTTCTTTGAAGCAATTTTGAGAGCTTCGAGTTGGTTGTGGAGATTGTTGTTTGGTCATATACGATATTTGGGAATGTAGAATGAGTACTAACATAAATGCTGCTATAATGAGTGCTACTAAATATGTTATTAATGTTACAAAAATAAAGGTTTTTTTTTAATGTTTTAACTGTTGGGAAAACAAATGGGGATCTACTACATAACACAAAATTGTTATCTATAGTTGACCTTGGCAGCTAAAACAAAAAGAAAAAGAAAAAGAAAAAGAAAAAATGTCATACCTACTCTGCACATGCACTGTAATTTGTATGCGCATAAGTACACTAAAGGGGTAAATATAATTGCGACCTGCATGGGCCCCGGCGAGCATGTTAAGGATACACACATGACGTCTAGGGATGTTGCGCGGTTCAATAAGTGAATTCAAGTTCGAACATGATCCTTCTATGTGGATCAATAGGAGTCGACAGGGTTCGAGCTATCAAACAAATATACGGTTGCGATGACCGTTATATTTGTCTTAATATATTCATATTAGGCCTTCAAGGCCTATAACAAAGAAAATTCACTAACAAAGGCATAAAGCCTATGAAACCCGATCATTTGTCGAAAACTTGATGGAGTCGACAAGGTTTATCTACAAAATGCAAATATTGTCAACCGGAAATGACATCCCGATGATGGTTGTGTTGAATGAAAATCTCAACCGGAGGGGTTCACAAATATTTTCAAATACCACTTAAATGTCCAAAAATCCAAAATCCCAATGATCATGCAAATTCCAAATATTTAAAATTGAAACTTAATCATCAACCACTCAAAGCAAAATCCATCCACCCTCCGCAATAGTTTGCCGAGGTGGACAAATTCAAATATAACTTCAGCTCACATAGAGCTAATGCCTAGACAAAAATATCACTAGGATCTATTCTCAAACAATCTCCTGCCAGTAAGGACATGATATGTGTCCTCTAACCGACGGTTTTGCCGCCAAATGGCACCGCAGGATAAACGGTTATGACCCCGGGCCCTCTGAACCGAGTCGTTTTGCCTCAAAATGGCATGACAAAATACCGGTTATGGCCAGAGCCAATAGGTTCCTGAATGACATCAAATCCTTGAGATATGAATCAATAAGATATAATCGATATGACACAAAGCTCTCTGTTAGCTAAGGTGGATTCAAATTTGTCCCCTTAGACAAACATTCATCTCAGGTCTATAAGGTCCCCTTGGATGAAGCAACCCATGATTGCTGACAAGGATCCTTCTGTCAGGTTGGGTCGACTACCTCCTATGACTAAGTAGACTAGGGACCACGATGGCCCGGGACGACGGAACCATGTGATCTTGATCGGGTCCATCATCCATTCCCGCACCATCCGCTTTAAGTGCAAGATGGTGCAATTTCAAATTTTCAATATCAATTCTCCAAGCATTCTAAATGCCCATGCTGCTGCTATATGCCCGATACTACATATCTACGGATACTGCGTATCTGATTGATGACTAGCCTTAATTGAAAGTTCTCTCTCGTGATTGGGAGGGGTAATTAATTATAGGGGTTTACGCCTATAGGAAACCAGAACTCAGATCATAAAGTCCTCACAAAATGAGGGCGAAATCTCTGGGTAGAGTCTCATCTACAAACCCATTTGTCTTCCAAAATTTACCTCGGAACTTAATGCGTTAAAACTCCCCCCTCCCCCCCAAAAAAAGGAAACATTGCGGGCGGAGGCCGGGGCCGAATTTTCGGAGCCCACATCTATTTACAGAGCTAGTACCTACATATTTTTATTTACTTATATACCACTCAAAATTTTAAATTATATAAAAAATATCATTAATATTAATTTATCTAAAATTAAACACACCTTTTTATATATAAACTTTAAAATGATTTAGACATTAAAGTAGTGTATAAATAAACATAAAGATTTAGATATTAGATATGTAAATACATCAGAATTTTATGAAATGCTCATAAATCCTCCACAACAACATAATATTTTATTTTAGATATTTATGAAGTGACTTATGATTTACCTAAGCTTATGCCTACGAAGGGTAGTGATAATAGCTCTTGCTAAAATTGCAAAATGGAATAATGTTGATAAATTTTACGGAAGTATCATTTAAATTTTATGATTTAGTTTATTGCAAACTAAATTAGGCTTGTAAGAAATGGGATAGTCTTGTTAGAAATTAATTTATTGAGGACTAGTGTGAATAAATATGTAGCAGACAATTTATTTAGTTTTCAAATGTCTCATGTTCGGGCTCAAATTCATGATTATCAAATTATTGTTTGTGAACTGATAGTGAAGATAAAATTCTTTCTGGAAGTTTTATTTTTATTTTATTGACAGAAAAGTTGCTTTAATCATGAAAATAATATAAAAATAGTATGTAACATAGTGAAAAATATGACTTCGGAAGAAACTATTTTTCATATTAGAATAGAAGAGACATATAAGCAAAAAAATAAAGCTGAGAAGGCTTAGAAATTTAATTGTAAAGCCTATTGGAAACCAAGATGATAAATCACACTCTCAATCCTATTAGTAGAATAATGGTCATAAGAATGATAAACTTAAGCCCTAACTTTCTTATACTAAGAAAATTGTTTAATGCAAAAATTATATATGTAATAAACCGGGACATTACCACTACATGCAAACATGAAAGAGGAGTGATTGTAATAACCGGTTGGAATGGTTCAATGGAACTGGTTCTCCGGTGAAGAGCGGGCGAACAGGATCACGTGGATAAGCGGCTAAGCGAGCACACCGGCATGCAGTGGCGAGTCCGATCTTGTGAATAAGCGAAGCAATGCAATCGTCTGCGAAAAGCTACGACTCCTCACGTGAGATATTTTCGATTCACTTTGTCCAGTTAAGCCAAACGAGCAAAGAAGGCTAATCGAGAGAGGAGGCAGAGAGAGAAGAACTTTTATTACATCCAGTGAACGTACGCTCCTCTACATCCGCTACTGCAAAATTTATCTACAGGTAAAAGTGTAGTTGGTGAATGCTTTGACTTGACAAAAAAGAAGTTTAATTGAGGTAATTAATATGATTTAAAGAATGTTTAATTTCATTTTATGTTAGAGGTTAATAGTAGATAATGTAATAGCAATTGTGGGGCGATAATATAAAAATATTTTTTGTTGTTTTAATGATATTCAATTCATTAAAAGTTGTTGGCAGTAATTGAAGTAGTCTATGTTGTCTCAAGTGATGTAAGAAATACTTAGGTTGCTTTGATGATATTTAAATCATCCAAGTTAGATTATACTATTAATTAAAATATTATTGATATTATTTGGAATAATGAAGGATTTAAATCGTTGAGTGAAAGTGAAGTACTGAAGCCCACAAAAGATCTCAATAAAAGATTAGGTAATACTATATATATGTTAATAGAAAATTTATTTGAAATTAGTGAAAATTTAGTTGAAAAATAATAGTGCAAATCTATGTAATTGTGTAAATGACCTTAGGTGTTGTATCAAAAAGGCCATTTAGAAACTGAAGGAATTTGGAAAGAATTTCAGCATTGAAAATCAGCAAAGTGGGAGATTATAATTATTATTTTTTATATCGCAGTTATATTCTTCCATTTTGTTTCAATGAAATAATTTGATATAATATCATGTCTTTATATTAATTAAATTATAAAGTATTTATTTCGCATTATATAGAAGAATATTGACAAATCAATATTACAAAATTGCATATATAAATATAGAAATTGTTTATACTAAGTGATATGCAATTGCAAAGAAAAACTTTCAAAAGGAAAAAAGCTTAATAATTGCACATGACTATTTATATGCATATTTAGATTGGTATACTATAAATTACAATTGTCCATTAAGTTTATTACAAAACTCAAATTATTAAATTTAAAATGTGAGATAAATCTCCTGTAAATTAAATGACTCAAAGAGAAAAGTTTGTCTACAGAAGAAGATGATCAAATGGCAACAAGTAAATTGATTTATTATATGTTAGATTTGGAAAAAAAATGTTTTAGTGCCTTTTCAGATATATGTTGGATATTAATTTTTAAAGTATTATGTTATTGGAAGAACTGTATTAACCGTCCAACCGTCTGTTTCCGACTCGTTAATTCAAGTCTCCAGGTCGAATCGTGACAGTGATGATCCTACATACTTGTGGAGACAAAGATGCCTTCTCCACTGCAATAGGGACCGGAAGTAGCAAAGAAAGTCTTTCTTGAAGAAATTCATGAGCATATAAACTTTTTTGAATTTTTTTTTTCTCATTCTATAGCTAGTAAATTCTTTTTCTACAACCAATTTTGTATTTTTCTTGCACGGATAGTACAAACCTAATTATAAAGAAGTATGACATTTAAATAACATGGAAAGAATATCATACTTGAAAAAGTAATAAATCAATTACATGGCATACAAATGATATTTATCTACTAAAGGAGCTATAAATCATAGCAAATAAGCATACTAGTAAAAGCAGTAATTGTACAAAGTATACAAATTTTTAGCTAATAATGATTGAAAACAATAAGAAAGTGTAAGTTATATACCGATTGTAAATGTTTGACCCTCAACCATAAAACCAGATTTATCATTACCTGCAAAAAAGGGAAAAATTAATTCTCATAGGTGAGGATTAATTGATGAATCTGATTAATAAAAGCATAAGGTCAAGAGCCACCCTTGAAGAATAGATCTTGTCCATCTTTTAATTCTAAAAACCAAACGCAAGTAGTCAAGTAATGTTGTTCTTGAAACAAAGTGGTTTTTGCATTGCCGAAGACTTGAGATGATGAAGCATAGTCACTCAGCTTAATAAAATGATAAGTTAACACAACAAAGAGCTGCATTAATCAGCTGGAATAAATACCAACATTGGAGAGAAAAGGTACACAATTTCAGTGTAAGGTTAACCACAAAAAATCAATTCAAAGCTTCCAATCAAAAAGATGATTCAAAGAGGTTGGCGATCTTGAAAAGAGCCCATTGGTCTCATAAGGAGTTTGCTATTGTTGGAGAGATCTCAGAATTCTCACGAAGTGCTCAATATTCTAAAAGAGCCTGGTATTCTTAAAAAAGGGCTCCGGGTTTTTCTTTTTGTTTATGAAAGCTGTACTTTTATCCCTATCAAGAAACTGATTTCATGTTCTGTAGTAATAAGATATTCAGATGAACTTGAGCTCGATTTAAGAGCTATTAAGTAAAAAAGCCATTCATGCACGTCAGCCAGAGATTAGATTGTTAGAAATAACCCATTACACACGATCTCATAACCACCCCCACTCACGTAACTCCCTCAAACAGCAATAGAAAAAAATAGAACGCCCCTCTCACGCTTTCTACTTACCACACGAAAGGAACTACCACAGGAAGAGGATCCCACTTGATTTTGTCTCTTTCAATCGCATGCAAGAAACGCCAATCAAAGTCATTCGCACGCAGGAACCCTAGCCGAACACCCCAGAAGCACAGACCCTTCACTCACTCCCTCTCGGCTTCTTTGTTTGTTCTACCACACGCGCTCTCTCCCAATTTCTCTGTATCGAAGACCCCAAGCTGAATCCTCTCTCTCTCGTCTCTATACCAGGCTGCTCAACCTGTTGTCATCGTCATCGCTCTTCCTACACTAAAATGTATAAATTCCTCTTTCTTACTTAAACAACAGGTGCTGAAGAACCCGCGTTTATCGTATGTTTGATCCAGTTGAAAAAAAAATGAGAACTAAAGAAGACATGCATTGTTGTATATTTGATTCGGCCAGGAGAAATAAATTATACAAAAATCTTTCATCGTCGTATCTTTGATCCAGCCGGGAAGAACAAAAGACAAATGCCTACCCGACACTCATACATGGGGGTGAGACGTCGAGAGGCTATCAAAATTTTGAGCAAATAAAAGACCCCAGATAATTAAATAAATAAATAAGAATGACATAATCATATGTATCTAATAGAATTTAACCAAATGAAAATTTTTATCATTCAAAATGATTGCTCACTATCTATGATTTGGAACATTTAAATTGAGTGAAATAGAGGAAGAATCATTATAAGTTGGAGAAAATCAGCTGTAGGATTTAATACATCTAAAGATATCTAAGTGTTGTAGTCAACATAATCTACAAGAAACATCTCATGTTCAACAACATTCTAATTAAAGTTTAGACACTTCATTAGACAAAAGCATTGGCTTAACCTTTAACAATATCTCAAACTCAACTCAGATGAAATAATGAAGTTAAGTAGTGGTGTCAAGGCCGGTTTCATCATCTTTAATATGTTGAGCTAAAAAGGATTATAAATTTGGTGAGGTTAAATAAATATGTTGAACTTGTGCAATTGATTGCATGGAATTGAAGTCAAAAATCTCTTTGAGATCATATTTAAGAATATCATTGACAAAGTCAATTTCATGTTCAAAATTTTCAGACCGAACAACTCTTTAAGTTAATAGACATTTTACCAAGCTATAAGATGATAACTCTTCCTGTACAATATAATTTTCTTTTGGGAGTAGATATTCCTGCTGAACTTGAAAGGGCCTTGAAGATTGATTAGCATGTAACTATTTGGGCAAGACAGGAGCAAACCGTATACCTTTCCTCAAAATTCACTGATTTCCTTTTCTATCAAGCCAAACTTCTGTCCATTTTGATATACTAATCTCATCTCCTATATTTGATATGGCTCCGAGGAAAACCAAGACTATAATAGAAAAGGAATCTCTTTTAAAATCTATAACTATAAAATTCTCTTGTTAATAAATTAAGAATTCAATAATTACTCAAGAACAGATGGAGAAAGGGCTATACTCCCACCCCCAGAAACAACCGGCATAATGGTGATCGATGATCAAGCACGATCCTCCAAATTAAATAGAGTATGATTTAAAAAACACTGAAAGATCTATGAATGCCTGAATTTGATTAGACTTGACCTATAAGGAAGGTAATTTCTATAGATCTCATAAAAATAAAGATTACATGATAAGGCTTCATAAATAAAGTTCTTCGAAGACCCATCATAGAACATCACTAATAAAGCTTTTAATGCTTTCAAGCATGGTAGGGCTCCAAACACAAAAAAGATTGAATCTTCAAGCTGTTGGCGTTGAGTTGGATAAAACTGGAGCTATCAAGTGGATGGTTGACCGTACCATATGGGACCATCGTAGATTCCTTATAATTGCCAAAAGTTTCTTACATTAGCAAGGTTGAAACTACTTAATTACTTCATCACATGTTTGACAAAATACAACCAGTCTAAACAGGATTACTCATCACTCAAATGGGTTCCAATCCATTCAACTATTTATTCTACACAAATAATGTTCAATGTCTTGATCATCCTATGCTCCATCTATTCAACTTTCTTAATCGGTCGACTTAATCAAGTCAACAACAAGAAATCCCAAGTATTGAAAATTTTGGGTTTTTAAAGAATTTTACCTTGCCCATCATTGATGGCTTCTCATATGTGTCTAATAGAACTTTAACCACTGTTTTTGTTCCGCAAATATTTATATCAAGCTCCTAAATGCGAGATCTAAGAATTCTTCTCAGATTTGCTAAAAGTGCTCAAACACTCCACGATAGTTGTGTTGACGTGTTGACGGGAAATCTTAACCAGAGAGTGTTATATAATTTATAAAAATGTCATCAAAATTCTAAAGTCATCTAGTCAAAAATCTAAACTCAAATCCTATTAAAAATTTAAAATCTAAAATAAAATCAGTCACCAAAAATTTAAAACTAAAATCTATCCACATTTCACAACGGTTTGACGAGAATAATGAATTGAAGAATAATTTCAACTAACAAAGAAAAAATGTCTTGTTGAATGTATTACTACAATTCATTCTCAATTGTATCTCACCAATAAGGATGTGTCACATGCCCTCTGACTGGATGGTTTTGCTGCAAAATGACACCGCTATATTAAAGTCATGGCCAAAGTTTGTATGTTCCCTAATAGTTAAAAGCCACTTGAATAATGAATTATAGGATGCGCTCGATAAGATATAAAGCTCTATGTTAGCTAAGGCTGACTTAAATTTATCACTTTAGAGAAACATCCATCCTAGGTCTATAAGGCACCCTTTGACGACACAACCTATGGTTCCTGACAAGGATCTTTCAGTCAGTTTGGGTCAACTACCTCCTCTGACTAAGCAGACCAGGGACCATGACAATCCAGGATGATGGATCCATAGGATCTTGATCAGCCCATTATCATTTTTCCATCACCCGCTTTAAGTATATTATGATAGATTTTAAGTCATAAACTCTAAAATACAAAACCAAAGTCAAACCCTAAAATCATTGTTATTATATGCTAGGAAATTATTGTGACCTATTTAATGACGAGCCTTAATTGAAAGTTCTCTCTCATTATCGGGAGGGGTAATTAATCATTGGGGCTTGCACCTAGGGAAACTAGAACTCAAATCATAAAATCCTCACAAAATAAGGGTAAAATACCTGGATAGTGCATTGTCTAAAACTTAATCTGCCTTTTGAAAACTTACCTTGGAACCTAAATCCGTTAAAACTCTTCCCGTTAATAAAGAGGGGCGAAGAGGTTGAGGCACGAATTTTCAAAGCCCACAAATTAATAATGTAATTTAAACAAAATAAAATTCGTTCTAGTTCAAGCCAATAATATTATAATCAAGTTCAACATAATATTATAATTATCGTGAGATCTAAAGATACGTACATAACTCATTACAAATACTTTGTACCGCATTTGGGTTACTTTTGTTTAAAAAGCTTGTTATCTATAGGTATATAATAATTTTGTGTTTTGCCTACTTGCAATTCCATTAGCATTTTATTTTTAAGATTTTGTTATAGGTCATTGTTAGTAATTCTTAAGAGTTAAGACACATTAGTCTTTCAGCATGTAATTACTATTCTCACATCATTTGCACAACATATGCAAGACATGTTTAAGCATATTCACAGAAAACTTGCTAATAATTATGAAAATTGCACATTTTGTTATTGTGAGAAGATGATGTGAAATTTATACTAGCTGATAAAGTCATGGTGCATTTAAATCTAAAAATGCTTTCAAAGATAAGATCATTTTAAATTTTGTAACGTATTAAAAAAATGCCAAAACATTGTAAAGTCAAGAAATTCTAGTACAATTTAGTTTTTAATATGTTTAATTTAACGTTATTTCATGAAAAACCAGTATCAATTAATTTCTTGGATTCTTATCTCTTCTCATCTCTTCAATGGGAATCCACATCCAATCCTCAACCAATCACTTCAATACAACCTATTTTTGAGGTGATGATGAGTTTATGTTCACTATTGATGATGGATTACAGTGACCACTAGGTGCATTATGGTGACCAATCATTTTACAAGAAACATAAATTTACATCATATTTATTTTATGAATATCAAAATTTCAATCCATCAAAGTTAAACATTTCAAGTCACGCAAATCGAGGTGAAACTAAACTGCTCTAGTTGATTAAGTTTGGTTGTATAAAGTAGCTAGTATTATTTTCCTTTGGCAGGAGAAACTTGAACGCATGCAACAATTGGTCTTATCCTTAGGTGGTGTTAATTGGAGATACGTGGCCTTTGGAGCTTGAATAACATTTCTTTTCTTCCAAATTTCAGCCTTGTGAATGTAAATTTAAAAGTGTGATTTTTATGTGACCACCGATTTTCAGGGTAATTCATCTTCTTGTATGAAAGCAAGGTTTGCTTTTTCTTTTGGTAACTTAATTCCTTGTTTATTTGTCTACATAATTTATCATGACTATTTTAGTGATCATAATTCTGTAATGTTTTCAAATGAGTTTGTCAGGAGGTTGTATTATCCATCCAATTTTTCAGAAAAAAATGTTCAAAGTTCCGAATTTCTTTCTTTCTACCCCTTTTCTTGCAATCAAAGAAAAAATTATGAAGATGTTTGACATTGGAGCAGTGAATGTAAAAATGGCGCGGGAGATGGAGAGAAAGAAAGAAGGGGATTTATGAACAATTTTTTCCCTCAATAGCTATCCAGGAGTATAAAGTTCGTAACAGAACTTCAACAACAAAATAAAAAAAATTTAGAAATCATAAAAGTTCTGCCCATGTGTAGTATATAGCTCCTCTATTTTGGCCCCGCACCTTTTTAGAGAGACATGACAACTTTATGGTATTCATGTAAAGAAATAGAATATATATTGGGAATCAAAAATATCCGCTGCAATTTATAGCTCTCTCTATATATAAGGCTTAATTTTTGCTTGCATAAAATTTAGCCTCAGTAAAACAGATGAAACTAGTTTTTGACAAACTTTTGTAGTGTCGTGCGTATAAAATAAAAATATTCATAACATGTCAATGCTATGAATGTTTTAATTTAGTGCCTCCAAATCCCCATCTAGTATTAGAAAGATACAAAACATTCCAAAATTTGAATAACAAAAAAAAGGCAAATTAACACTCACGATGATGCATGATAATTGGTTCAGAATGAAAGACATTTCCAACACCATGGCCAACAAACTTCTCGACTACACCATAGCCGTGTTTTTCAGCAATCTCACTAGAATCATTTGGAAAGTTAGTAATACATTCAAAATATATAAAAACTTCACAAAAAAAATCAAGCTATAAGTATTACCTTACCGAACAACCAATCATGGATTTTCAACACGAAACGTTGTCATACACAAGTAGTCCTTTCTTAGAGTAAGTTCTAGGAAGCATAGAAAATCTTAGAACTAGTTATGAATTATACAGTAACCTAGTTTAGAAACAACGCCAAACATCCTACTGCAGCATTGGGCAAAACTCAAATTTGGGGTCAGCATTTTAGTTTAGAATGTGATGTGACACTAATTGTTGGGTTCCATTCATCATAACAATATTGAGCTGGATATCATAGACGTAAAGTTGGCAAATTTTCAGGCCATATTTGAGCAATTAGGTCTACAAGGGCTAAACGAACAAGTTCAAATGGTTTTTATCATCCTAACATGTCATTTCAGTTGTGGGATGCATGATCTTTTGCACCATTCTTTTATGGAAATCCAACTTTGAGTATGGCTGTGAATGATAGAGACCAGATCTCAATCCAATCACAAGTTTGGCTTTTGGTGGCCTAATCCTATCTTTATTCAATCCCAATTTGGCAAGTTGATTTCAATCCAAACTCAACCAAATTCAAAGGTCAGTCCATTCTTTTATAGATTTCAATCTTCAAGTTCAATTTTCAACCCTATAGCCCTACATACATCCACACTCCACAGCCAACTGTGCATAAATGCATAGAAGCATAAAGGCCTACACGCTTACCTGGAAATAACAAAAAGGTGCAAAATAAATATAAAAATATTTGTTAGAAGTGAAGGATATTTTAAAGGGCCTTGTTCACTGAAGAATCCCCTATTTATAATTGAGAAATGATTACCATATTCTAGGGTACATCCAATTAAAATATTCCGCTCATCAAATATAAATCACTTTTCACAAAAAAAAAAAAATCCTATGCTAACACTATCCTTAAGTTGGAGCATATATATTAACTAGATTCAACTTGTTACATATAGAAAAGTGGTGAGGTCCAAAAGCTTCCATAAAGATATCAACTACATGATGGGAAGCAAGAAAACTAAAATCTTCAAGGAGAGTTTTTACCTACATCATCTCATAGGAGTAAGTCGTGGGCCGATAGTTTAGCTATAACTGTTCATCTCACAGGTGGAGTAAGTCATGGCCCTACATTTTGCTTCAACATTAGATTTAGCTATAATTGTTCGCTTCTCTAGGTCATAAGATTTCCACCAACATAGATTCATTAACCAACTTTGTATCTTCAGCTGATCCAACATAATCAATATCTTCAAAGGCTACAATTTTTAGATGATTCTATCTCAAAGAGACTACAACAACAACAACAACATCAAGCCTTTATCCCACTACGTGGAGTCGGCTACATGAATCCTTTTTCTCCATTGTGTCCTATTAAAAGTCAAATTCTCGTTTAAATCTAATAAAGAAAGGTCATTCCTAATATTTTCTAATATCTCAAAGAGACTAATTATTTTAAAAAAAATTCTTGAAATATTTTTAAATCTTTGATACAACCTCCCTAATATTTCTTCTTCGGATTTTGCATGCACCGGCTAATCACACAAAAATTAAATGATATATGAAAATCTAGTCACAATCAAATAGATAAGATTATCTACTAAACATTGATAGCGGGAAGCATCTTCAAAGAAACCCTCATTCTCGAAGGTTTGTTGAGTATCTATAGGAGAGCTAGTCAGCTTGTATCAAGTAAATATGTTCCTTCATGTAAGTCTACAACATATTTTCTTAGAGAGTGAGAAATGCTTGAGCCTATAAAGACAGCTTTGATGAGATCCCCGAAGAGAAAATCATTGCTGACATCTATTTAGAGCATAATCCATCTTTGATTAATGATAACAAAAAGAAGATAGATTACATTAAGCCCAACTAACAAGGAGAAAAATCTCAAAGTAGTCAATGCCATAAACTTGGGTATATCCTTTTGCTACGAAATGAGTCATATAGTATTCAATAAATCCATCGGAATGGAACTAAACATTGAAGACCGCTCTATCTTGAAATTGGTTTAACCTTGAAAGGGTTAACCAAATCCATTTCAATATCCATTGAATGCTTCCACTTTGGATCGAGCAAAGCCTCTTGCTATGTCTAGGAAATAGAGATAAAAGATAGAATTTGACCAAATTGACAAAATGAAAAGGACAAAAGATCAAAGGATATACACGTGTTTGGATGGTTAGTACGAAAGTGTTTTGTCTTTTCATAGAGAAATAGTAAGATGAACCCAATCAAAATTGATGACATGGAGGAAGGTGGTTCAATAAGAGAAAAACATGAGCTACAAGTATAAATTTGTAAGGAGCAAGGAACAAACACGACCGTTATAAGTTATAGGAGAATAAATATAGTTATGATAGATGATGAAGCGTTAGAGGATTTTTCTCATGAAACCTTGAGCTCATGCCCAAACTCTTTCAAGTGTTTGGCTTCCCTTTGCTTTGAGACCTTGAACTTGATCTCTCTTTTTGCGAGACGAATGACCCAACAACTAGTGATCTTACATCAAAGAAATTCCCTGTGCTCAAATGCAAATATAATCTTGGCCTTCTTTATCCCAATAATTCTCTTGCACACAAAAATTGATGAATAGTATGAGGTGTCTCTTCCATCTATTGATATTTGGTCCAGAAAAAAGAAGTGATTGTTTTTTTTTTTTCTAAACGACTACACATGATTAAAAATTGGAAGTAACTCTCAAATAACTATTGGACTGTTGTTATCATAATTGTTGAGCAAATCCAACTTCCTCAATGCATATGATTCCTTTGGCCAATCAATGGAAGAGAATTGAATGCCATTGTGATTCTCTTAACCATTAATGAGAAAGATAAAAATAGGGGAAAAAAACTTTTTCAAAAAGCCACAAAAGAATGCAAATGAACGGTTGAGAAGTTGCCAAACTTTGTTATAAAAATATATTTTTTGGTGTCTTATTTACTATAGAACCCACCTATTTATAATAAGGGAATGAAAGTAGTGTTCGAGGGTACAACCAATGTATTTCACTCATCAAATATAGATCACTTTCCAAATATAATATTTTACCATACAAACTGATAAGGACATCAGGCCTTGGAAAGTTTATCAAAGGCGGGGCCGACGATCTACGGTCACGATTGCACCGATCTACTTTTGATTATCGTTGTATAAGATTTATTATTTTATTATATTTCATGAGCTTATTGTACTTTTCCATTTATGCCCTCACTTAGGGGCCTAGTCATGTGTAAGCCCAAAGGGTGTAGGCTCCGAAAATTCGGCCCTGGCCTCCACCCATTTGATTTTCTCAGGGGAGTTTTAACGGATTTAAGTTCCAGGGTAAATTTTAGAAGGCAGATGGGTTTGTAGATAAGACACTACCCAGAGATTCACTCTCATTTGTGAGGACTTTAAGATCTGAGTTCTGGTTTCCTGTAGGCGCAAACCCATATAGTTAATTACCCCTCCGAGAAAGAACTTTCAATTAAGGCTAGTCGCCAATCAGATGCATAGAGATACGTGTTATCTGGCATATAGTAGCAGCATGGATTGGGCGTAGAAATTTGATATCAAAAAACTGAAAATTTCACCATCTTGCACTTAAAGTGGATGGTGGGGGAATGAATGATAGACCAGATCAAGATCTCATGATTTCGTCGTCCTGGGCCATCATGGTCCCTGATCTACTTAGTCATAGGAGGTAGTCGACCCAACCTAATAGAAGGATTCTTGTCGGCAGCCATGGGTTGCTTCATCCAAGGGGACCTTGTAAACCTAGAGTGAATGTTTGTCTAAGGGGACAAATTTGAATCCACCTTAGCTAACAGAGGGCTTTTGTCCTATCAATCATATCCTATTGATTCATATCTCAAGGATTTGATGTCATTAAGGAACGTATTGGCTCTGTCCATAACTGATATCTTTTGGTGCCATTTGGCGGCAAAACCACTCGGTTCAGAGGGCCCCGGGTCATAACTGTTTATCCTGCAGTGCCATTTAGCGGCAAAATCACCAGTTAGATGACATGTACCACGTCCTTACTGACAGGAGAATGTTTGATAATAGATCATAGGGATATTTTCGACTAGATATTAGCTCTATGCGAGCTGAAGTAAATTTCAATTTGTCCACCTCGACAAATTGTTGCGGAGGGTGGATCAATTTTGCTTTAAGTGTTTGATGTGTTGAATTTCAATTTTAAAGATTTAGATTTTTGAAAATTTTTTATCTTGGAATTTGAATTTTATAGGCATTTGGATATTTGAGAGGCATTTGAAAGTATTTGTAAACCCCTCCGGTTGAGATAAACATTCAACATGGCCCTCATCGAGGTGTTTGGGGTCATTTTCATTTGTGGATTGAACCTTGTCGACTCCATCGAGTTGTTGACAGAGGATCGGGTTTCGTAGGCTTTATGCTTTTGTTGATGAATTTCTTTTGTCGTAGACCTTGAAAGCTTTATATGAACGTACAAAATAGATGTTCTGGTCGACCTCCTAACCGTATGTTTGTTTGATAGTTCGAGCCGTGTCAACTCCTATCTATTTATATGAAAAGATTGGACTCAAAATTTGTTCATTTATTGACCCGCGCAGCATCGTTACACGTCATATGTATACCCATAACACCCTTGTCGGGGCCCATGAGGGTGTTTGGGGGTATTTTATAATTATTTGTTGAACATTGTCGACTCTTATTTACTTGCGTAGGAGGATTGAATCAAATTTCTTGATATGCGTAATATCCCTAAACGTCACGTGTGTTCCTACAACACGCTCGTCGGGGACCATGTTGGTATTATGATTGTACTTACCCCTTTTGTGTACCATGGTACATGTGTGGGGGCATTTTAAAAATATTTGTAAACACTTTATGTCTGCTTGCTTGGACATTGCGGATCCGGTGATGTTGAGTAGCGCTACAGTCATTTGCCCCTTTCATATAGATAGACTGTCGTGTACTACTCGTTGCTTTCCGCAGGTAGATTATAATACACTAATGAATCGCCTGCTTTTGGTCGTAGAGGCCTACATTTATTGCATGTCATTCGCCTTTGCTCGTAGATAGCAAGTTGAATGTATAACGGGCCTCCTTCAACGGCTCATGGGAGCTTGTATTTGCAGTAGTCCTGTAGCATATCTACCCTCACCGCTTACAAATAGGTTAACATGTTCATTCGAGGACAAAGGTTGATTGTTGGATGAGCTACATTCATCACTATTGCACATGTGATAAATCACATACCATTGCTTGTAAATATTTCTTCTTTGATCTACGAGTAATGTAGCATCTGCAGCCTACTGATTGTCATCCGCATGTATATATCACTATGCATATGATGCATCTTCTGTCATTATTATTTGGCATTTGCATTCACTAAGCTTTTATGTCTCATGCATGTAATTGATGATGTATTCACTACCGTTACTTGTAGGTAGGGTCACTGTATGAATGAAGAGTCTCATATATTAACTTGTAGGAGTTTATATGCTTTATCGATGTATTAACCTTGTTTGTATGCAATATGCAACACGCGTTGTAGCTCATTGCATACTCTTCATGTTTCCCTCATGAATATTCCTTTCACTTTCATCATTTGCAATCTCAGATGCATTTGCTTATGTTTTGATGTGAATGCAAAACACTGTCGTATTCATCAGGAATATTTCCAATGTCTCAAACACATTCATCATGCATTATTTATGTCCACTTATGTATGACATGATGCATTCATTATGAACTCCTGCATTGTGAGTGGGCCACTGTATGCATTTTCAATCTTCTGCGAATAAGTTTCTTTGAACGCAGATCTTCTAGCACTGTCTACAAGTGTTTGTGTTGAATATGGATCTTCTTTATTTGTTCGCCAGTAAATAGTATTTGGTTGTGAGAATGCTACGACATTCATTATATATCTCTCATTACCATTTATGAATAGTGCAGCATGTATATTAGAGCTCCCTTGCTATTTGTTATGTTTGCCTCTTCATTACTTATTGTTGATTGTTGCATGATGGCTGCACATATTCACAAGAAGTATATTATTTGTCAATGGACTGGTGCATTTGACTGCATAGAAGCCATTATAGAAGACTATCGTATTCACTATGCATTGTCTCTTCTCACTTGCAGGTGAATCATATCGGCGATGACAAGCCTGTCATTATTTCATTAGTATTCATTTGAGGACTTTGTTCATCGTTTTTTAGCAGCTCAGTTGGGTCCCCTGTAGTTCATGTTCAGTTCAGGTCAAAGTCAGTATGCAAGCTCAATTCAAGTCAAAGTTCAAATCAAGTTCTTCTTGGTTGAGTTTTGATTCAAGTCCTTTGTTTAGTCATTCGAATTCAGGTCCTCACTGGTCAAATTGCAAGTCCTCATTTGTGTTCATATTGTTCAAGTCATGATCAAATGAGGCCCAAGTTCAAGCTAGTCCAGGTTCAATCATGGCCCCCTACAGTTCATTGTCACTTGTTTGGATTCAAATTCATTTAAGTTCATTTAATTGTTCATTCAAATTTCTTGTCGTTCATTTAAGTTCAAATTCTATTTAGTCCAAGTCTTGCTCATTTGATGTTCAAATCAAATCCAAAAGTCCAATGTAATTTCTCCAAGTCCTTGTGCGTTTCAGACAAAATTTCGGCAACCTCCCGGCGTCTCCTCCGTTTAGGGGAAAATTATAGAATATGGGCCTTCCCACCACGCTAATAAAAGCATGTATGATAGGTGTCCTTAGACACCGCGGCCGTATCTTCATTCCCATCATGCTAATAAAAGCATGTATTGGGTCGGTGAGGATACCTATTTTAAAACACAGTTGTTTACCCGCGTGCTGGTACTTATAAGTAACCCCGCCTTGCCGTAGGCGTCGCACCGGGTTCCCATCCCACCACGCGCAATAAATGCGTGTATAGGTGATTTTCGGTGCTCCACGAACGCCAAAATGGGGCTTTTGGATCACCCGCTTCGTTGCTAGCACTGCTACGCACTTCCTCCCACCACGCTAACAAAAGTGTGTATATGTGGTTCTTTTGTCGCGCTGCAAGCTTCGAGGTGGGCTCTCGGAGTTTTAAGATTTATAGGGGACGATCGGCGAGGTGGAGTTAGCAGACAAATTGAGACAAACACCAACCCTCATATTTCTCCTCTTTCCCTCCTTCCTCCTCCATTAAGCCGCCGACCTCACCAGCAAATTTGCCCTCCAACCGCCGGCCACAAAGGTCCTTGCCCCTTCCTTAGCCGCCGGCCCTCTCACTCCCACCACTTCCTAGTCGCTGCCCAACACCAACCCTTTCTACTCCTCTTAGCCGCCGCCCCACATCAACCCAAAACCCTAACCTATTCCCACTTAGCCGCCCGCCCCCTCCCTCTTCCGTTGGCTCCACAAATTCCTTCTAGCATTCAATGTCATTCCTATTTTAGCCTTCTCAATTTGGTAACCAATTTGAATTCAAAATTCAAAATAATTTGAATTTAAATTTGTTTCCTAAATTAGAATTCTTATTTTAGGAAAGTTACTTAAAGTAAGATCCATTTAAACTTCTAATTGGATTTGATTTAAGTTAATTCTACCTAATTCAAGGTTCCAATTAAAGCAAGCTTTAATTCTCTTTCCCTAAACCCTACCCTACCTCACCATGTCGTCGGCCCCCCTTCTCCCTATCCCTCTCTCTCCACATTAATTCTGCTCCCTCTAAAGACCTCAATCAAATTTCTCATTAAGGATTACCTTCCTTTCTTTCCTCTTGTTTGAAATTCAAATCACATAACCCTAAATCCCTCCCAAACCAAAATCTGAAAGTATTTTCAGATTTTGGAAATCTCTCCCTTATAAACCGCCAGCCCCTCCCACCTCCTCCTTCCCTCCCTCTCTCCCAATACAACTCCTAACCCCCAATTCTAGGTTTCTCATTTGCTGTCCATATTTTCTGGGCAATGTTTGGCGACTATCCAGAAATTTTCTGCATGTTTCCTTGTTGTCCAGACGGTCAGGAGATCGTCGTTTATAGCCCAAAAGTTCCAGCACACCAAAATCTATTAATCCCTCATGCATGGCGGATCCGGAACTTGACCACGGATTCGTTTACAACGACCGAGGCCACGCCGACATCCTCAACTCCCCTTTCTTCGACCTCAACCTTGAGGTTGACCAAACCGTGGAGGATTACGTGGAGAGGATCATCTTCACCCTTGTTGAATCTATTGACGAGCAACTTTCTTCTGTTCAATGGAAGATTGTCTCCAAATCCTAAGCAAGGTGAATCTTTCCCATAATCTTTTCCTATCTAATTCTTACCCCACTTGTGGTTTTAATTAATTCACTAAGATCGTGTTATGCTTCTCTGCTAAGACTAGTAATTTAGAAATGAGTGAAAGGACTCTTCGTAGCAAATAATCTCATTATTAGCGTAGGGATTTCTTGTTGGAAATCTTTCACGTATGTTATGTTTTGAATTACTGATTATTTTGAGATCCTAACCTCTAGTTGTGTGACTTGACCTAAGCTCGTCTCATCCCTTTTTGTTTCATTTCATCATTTAATTCACTATAAGTATTTTAGTTAATAAAGCTCTCTAAAATTAAATTGTGCAAGGTTCTTTCTAACATCGCTTAAGCATCTTAGTCCGGCATCACTAACACTCATTATAAATTTATAATACATTTAGCTTTCTAAAGTATTGAGAAATATTAGTTTGCATATTTATGTGCAACTATCATTTATATAGTTTTTAATCTGCTTATAGTTTATCTTTTTCTTGGATTTTCTGATTGTCAAATCACAAATAACTCTTAATTAAGAAAATAAAAAATGGTGTAGAATAAACTGGTTAATAATAATGGCCTGTTGAAATTTCCAAAATTAAAATTGCCACTAATAACTCTTAATTAAATATTAGTATCGAATCAAGAGGCAATATACCTTATTCTCTTTCCAATCTTCTTAAAAGCAGCGCTATCTTTGCAAACAGATATGGCTCTTTCCAAGCATTCTTCAGTCACCTACATAAATAATTGAGCTCTTAAGTAAATAGCTAAGCAATTAATTGAATTCATACTATACTAAATACTAATAAAAAGTCAATGTAGGTTTCGCTCTTAGAGATTGAGGATGTAAACATGTCTCAAAAAGTGAAGGTGCTCGGAAGAAAACATAATAATTCATCGCTACTTAAATGAACTGATAAAAGGGGATAATTTCAATAAAAATTATTATGCAAATGTCTAAGTAGCCCTCCAAGCCCTTAAGGAAAAAAATTGAGAAGAAGGGTACATGCGTCTTTTTCCCCCTACCTTTCCCATAAGTCTCTAAGGGATCGAAATATTCGGTCACTTTGTTTGTTTCGTTTGGCCGAATAGGAGAGAGGAGGAGCGGGCGTGAGAAGGGAGCGGCTTGGGGCTTCGGCGGCGGCCGGCAGTTTTTGGCGTGCATTTGGACGAAAGTGAAGGGGAAGTCCAAGGAAGAGTAAGGTAAGCTTTTTACACAAAAATCACTTCATTCTCCTAAGATTTCTTTGGATGAAAGTTTTAGGGTTTGTTCAAAACATTAAAGTTTTGAAGAAGAATGATAGGGAATGAGGAAAGAATGTTTCTAATCATGAAATTTTTAGTTTTTCTCAAAAAAAAATTATTTTAAAAATTAGGGTTTCTTCTAATTTTCTTTTTAAGAATGATTCCTAATGACATTAGAAAGCTTCTATTGGAAATTAATTTAATTTTTATGAAAAATTTCAAGTTTCAAAAATTAAGGCTTATCCCTAATCATGAAAACCCTTAAGTGTTATTGTTGTAAATAGACTTAGGAAGGATTTTAGAGGTGGGAATTAGGGTTTTTGCACAAAATTTCTTTTTTTTTTGTAATTTTAATTTAAATTACTTTTTTCAAGTGAAAATTTATGTAATTAACATCGATTATTAGTTTTAGACTTTAAGATAAAGGGGTAGAAAATAAAAAAAATAAGTAAAATGATATTTTAGGATAAGATGGAGGCATTTAAAGAATATTAACAAAAATATTTTTGAGAGTAAGATTTTAGATCTTAAGATTTTGTCTGTGCATGAGGATGCTAATGTTATGTTGAAAAAAGTGAGTAGCGATATTAAGAATATTGCAAAAGATGTGTTTAAAATATCAAAGAAAAAAACTCCTAATAGTAAAAATAGTTGGTGGTGGAATCCAAATGTGCAAGAAAAATAAAAAATAAGAAGATTTATTATAAAAATTGATTTAATTTTAAAAGTTTTGATAATTGGAAAAGATATAAAGAGGCTCGTAAAGAATCTAAAATTATAATATGTGATGCAAAATCCTTAGCTTTTAGTGATTTATATAATAAATTAGATACTAAGGAGGGAGAAAGATATATGTATAAGTTAGCCAAACAAAGAGATAGGAGTAGTAAGGATTTAGTTCAAGTGAAGCGTATTAAGGATGAAGATCAAAAAATACTTTTCTTAGAAGATATTAAATAAAGGTGGATGAGATATTTTGCTAAACTTTTAATGAAGATTCGTTCTGCTAAAATCATCTCCCGATCCAGCTCAGTCAGTTTTCCCAGCTCTTCCTTATCCGCCTCATCTCTGTACAGATCACTTCCAACAGAAGGTGCACTGTCAGAATCATCACCACTGAGCCTGTCATCATGATCATCTACCCAGTTGCTCCTCTTGTCTTTCTCAGGAGGATCTAGCCTCTTCTTTAGAGGAACTTGTGATCCAGAGTGTCTCCGCTTGTTGAACTTAGAGCTATCAGAATCATCCTCTTTCGAGTCACTTCCATCCGAGAATGATTCGTCTCGTCGCCATCTTGAATGTGGATGGGACTGGTTCTTTCTAGATGATGTGCCAGTTCTTCCAGCAGCTTGTAGTAGCAAATTCTCCAAGTCTGCCATGATTACAACTTCCTCTCTTAAGATCTGCAAAACATTGGCACGCAGGTCAGCACATCAGTGAAGAAAACTAATTTTAGGTTCCTACTGAACATATGCTAGTGAAACACATTAAAAGAGACATTTAAAAAAGTAACAAAAACTTACAAAAGACAGGCGATGACTGATAAACAGGAGTAAGTTGCAGCTTGAATTTGTTCTGTTTGATTATCCAGCACTGGTTCCCTCCAATACGCCCAAATGCAAAAACAACTGCATCATCAGATAATCTGAAAGTCAGCAAATGTAGAACAATACAAACACAACTATCTAATCCATTTACAAAAAATCAGTAATTTACATAAATTTATTCCAGATAAAATGCATCATCATCAATAGCTGAATAGCCTTAATTTCAGCTATTTTGGGTCATTTTTCTTTATCATTTATCTACATTCAACACAAAAACAATTAATTTAACAAATGATTCAATTCAAAGATGGCCATATATTTCTAATAAATGCTGATTCAAACCCTTATAGAGAAAATCAAGTTGAAACAACTTAAAAAAAAAAAGGAAAAATCAAGATAAGTTCGATTGTTCGAACAATTGAGGGTTATCAAAAATTTTAAGTAAATTTCTGAAGACTAATAAGTCTCCATCAGCATTCACCTCGCAATAGGCGCAGGGTGGGATTGAAAAAGAGACTACTTACAAAGTAGTTAATATCATTAATATTTTATAACTATTTAATCATGATCGTGAGATAATTAATAATAAGTAAACTTGCTAAAATAATTAGCAATTAAAAAACTATTTAAGCTTATTAAATATTAGTTAAGATTTCATTTAAATTGTAAATATTTTCTTAATATTTAATTGAGGTAATTAAGATTAAAATAATAAAATCAACAATTGATTCAAAAATAATCAAAGTAAATATCAAGATAAATTATACAGTAATTGATATTTAATTCTTGTCATAAGGTTCTACGAATACTGAATTATGATAATACAGCATGGCATAATAATTAGTCATTAAATCACGGTTAACTACTAACTATACTTAATTAGTAATTCATTACAATTTTAAATTTTATAATTATGATTTAAATATTAATTAAATTTGGTTTTGACTAATATATATATATAATTAATTAGTGTTTATATATATATTAATTACTATAATGCAAATTAACAAAAGTTAATAATTAATTAGTGTTTATAATAGTAGCTTAGATTAATCAGAGACTAAATAAAAATTCATTAGATTTGTAAATATATATTACTTTTATTTAAGATATGCTAATTAGATAAGCCTAAAAGAATAATAGGTTTTGATTTTTTGTTTTAAAATAAGCACTTAAGTTCGTTAGATTGGTTGATATATATATATATACATATATTAGAAACATTTCAAAAAAAAAAATTGATGAAAACAACACATGAAATATTTTCACTTATTTAAATAGATGGGGATATTATCAGCAGAATTCTAGTTGGATGGTTGAAGTGGAGGAATGCATCGGGCTTGTTATGTGATAGAAATGTACCCCTCAAACTTAAGGGAAAATTCTATAAGATGGTAGTGAGGCCTGCAATGCTTTATGGTGCCGAATGTTGGCCTTTAAAAGAGAAGCATAATACTAAGTTAAGTGTGGCAGAGATGAGAATGATCAGGTGGATGAGTGGCTTTACCCTTAGAGATAGGATACGAAATGAGCGTATACGTGAAAAGGTTGGAATAGCCCCAGTAGAAGATAAGATTAGAGAGAGTCACCTTAGATGGTTTGGTCACATAAAACTGCGGCCTTCCGATGACCCGGTTAGGAGAGTAGAGGTATTAGATTTGACTTATGTTAAGAAAGGTAGAGGCAAACATAAAAAAGACTTTGTAAGAAAATATTAGGAATAACCTTTCTTTATTAGATTTAAATGAGAATTTGACTTTTAATAGGACACAATCGAGAAAAAGGATTCATGTAGCCGACCCCACGTAGTGGGATAAAGGCTTGATGTTGTTGTTGTTGTTGTTGTAATTTAGATTAATTCAAAAATTAATTGTATTTTAATTAATTATTATGTACATGAGAGGTTTTCTTATGCATATAATATGAAATGAACAAAAAGAGGGTTCCCAAAAATTAGGGTTATGAAGAAATCCGAAATTAGAAAGTAAAGTTAATTAATTTTGAATTGGTAAAGAGTTAAATTAGGAAATTTAAGAATACATATGGGCAGATTTTTTATTCTTATAATTTAGGGATTAAGAAAGTTTATGTGAAAGTATGTGACATTAAGTGTTATGTTATATTACGTTATGTTTCTTTTTAGATATTAGACGTGGTAGAGAGAAAATTTCGATAGGGCAATAAGCAAATTGCACACCTCAGTGAGGTAGGTAAAATGTAGTTATTTTAAATTCGGAAAATCTTTCTCTTTACAAAAGATAGCATGCTCTTATAATCTCATGTGATTAGTCTACCTTTTAAATGCAATTTGTACTTTTTTTATGTAGTTTAGCATGTTCTTACATGTCTTGTATCTTACTCTTGTAAATGACCTAATATACTTTTTGAATACATAATGCAAATGCATCTTTTTCATGCGATGATTGTAGAAAGTATCCTTTCATATGTAATCATGTCTCCTTTTATATGTAATGTATATGTAATCATGTCTCTTTTCATATGTAATCATATCTCATTTCATATGTAATCACGTAATCGTGTAGAACAAATAGGAACATTAGACCATACGCATGAATGGCATGTTAAAATCCCTTTTGTGAATAAATCTAGAATGGTTGAATGCGTATATTTGATGTAGAGTATCAATAGTAAAAGGGCTCTATCGAGCCAAAGGTAAATAGGCTCATCGGAGCAAATGGTAAAGGAATGACCAATGTAAAAGTGTACCTAATCAGTACAAAACAAAACGATACTTCTGTGACGAGTGAATAAGATTATGTTACTATATTATTATACCATTATGTTATAAGTATAAGAAGCATCAATTGAATCATGAATGTATAATGAAAAAGGGATGCTTATGCAAAGAAAGAGAACATGTAGGATGACTTAAAGGCATGTGTACTCTAGTTGATATTTCATGGCATATTGATTGTCCCTTCACTTAAAAGTATTGGTATGCATGTTATACTCCTTCCCTTGCCTCTGAATTTGATTGAATAGCATTTTATCTACTGAGTTGTGACTCACCCAACTTATGAAAAATTTTCAGAAGAACCTGTTAAGCGTTAATGACGGATAGACCACCATACACTTACCGTCATAGGGAGACGACGGGTGACAGATTCCTTTTGGTATTTTTGGTATTTTGTGTTCGATGGATGCATGATAGCATGTGATAGGTAGATTTTTGACATTCATCTATGTAATGAACTTTTATGTATATGTTGATATATTTGAATGAAAGAAGAAATTTTTTTTTACATGGAATCGTTAGTGGCTCCTTCGTTATATTTGAATATGTTTTAGATATGTTATTTGAAATGTTTTAAATTTTACTGTCTGACTTTTATTCCAACCTCACCTATGCGAGCTTACCGGGCCGGGTCATGATAGTTCATATATATATATATATATATATATATATATAATAGACAAGGGCCAGTTTTTTGACATGAAGAGAAGGGCATTTAATCCCAAAATCGAATTATAAAGGCTATCTTCATGGAAAATGATTTCTAGAACTCAGTTCATAATTTTTTTGTTTCAATGGAAAACTCCACAAAACCTTTCCATGATGTAGAAATGTTTGATAAGTATATATCAATAAGCCTTCGAACTGCATCCTCTAAACAGATCTGAAGTCAGTTAGTCATTCTCTTGTTTAGACTTCTAAGCAAATTATAGACTACAACCACAAAACAAGATTGAGCTACTAGTAGTTACCAGTCATCAGCTAGTGTGGTGAACTATTGAAGTAGCAGTTGCTTGGGTTCAAGTAGTAACAGTTACATGCGTGAACATTCAAAGAATGAGTCCAGCAGATGTAGGTAAATCATTGGTAAAAAATGAACCAAGTCAACTACTGGCCAAATATGCACCAAGTAGCGACAACTTTACTGACAAGGTTGAGGATAGGAGTGGAGCCTGGTTGTTTCATTGACAATGCAATATTATGGTATTAATAGATGCAATTAATTGAAAAACATCTAGACGTTAGGCTGTCTAATGGCTATAAGAAAAAAGAATAAGAAACAAAGAAAAATCATAATCACATAATCACCATTATCCATTCTACTAATAATATTTTCTATTTGCAATATAGCACCGAGTTAAATACACACTATATTTGATAATTAATGTTGTTATCTGAATAATAGTGCTAGATTACAAAACAATCTAGATAACATGGAAGTAGGAATCCCTTAGTGAAACCAAGCGATAATATCATAAATTAAACACTGGCAATTTTCTTTGGTATTATAACAACACATCTAACACTGTTTAAGAGCATATAAAAGAAAACAGGAAGACTTGGAAACCATCAAACAATATCCAAATCTTCTCTTTGACAGTTAAATCACAAATACAAGTGTAATATCCAAATTGTCTTTATTTAAAAAACTATCACTCAAATATTTCTATTTACAATACCAACACCCAAATCATTAAAAATACAAGAATACGGCTAGCCTAGGAGAGTTAGTTCCTCAAAATCTTTAATGATTTGGATTATGATGTAAATACACAGGGGTTTAGTGGTTCATTTTAAAAATTTTGATGCTAGCTTGTAAATAAAGAAGACTTAAGTGTTATGCATGTAAATGTTCCTTAAATAAAAAATAAACAGTACACAAGAAACTAATACCAATAATATTAATAATAATAATCATATCAAGAGCAGCTAGAGAAATTCAGCAGAGAAATACCTTTACAAGTTTTTTTGTGCGTTCATCAACTTCTCCACAAAGAAAGGTCTTTGAGGTGTCACCATGGTAGCCCTAACATGAAAAGTTCTCAGAAAAATATACGTAGGAAAGAAAAAGAAATATACAATGCATGCAACTACTGAAATGGAATCAGGAAAGAATCAGTATCCTACTTATTCAAAGAATCAAAGAGAAGATCAAATCATGAAAATGCATCTACAGGCCTAATGATGTAGAACGGAGGGGGTCGGCCAAAAGAGCGGAAGAAGGGAGGCGTCCACATACGTTGAATGTGTCCACATACGATGAATGTGGACTTAAGAAATTTCTAAACCTGAATTATTAAGATAAGAAAAGGGGAATTATGACAGGTCTTTAATCAAATTCAAATTGAGAGAATTAAGGAAAGCCTCCTAATATAATAAAAGAATTTCAAATTCAAATTAATTTAAATTTGAATTTAAAAACTTTTCAAACTTAAGATGCATTGAATAAGGAATGCCTTCAATAATCAATTTGAAAAGTGGAGGGAAAGAGGAAATAGGAATGTAAGCTGGCGGCTAGCATGATTATGGGCGATTGATATGAGGGGTTAAAGGTGGCTATATTTAGAATCTTAAAATAGGAACGTGGATTTAAATCAACTCCTATTTAAAATTCAAAATTGCATGATTTGAGAGACTTCCCTAAAATAGTTTTCCTCATTTATGAAGTAAAATTCAAATTCAAATTCAATTGAATATAAATTTAAATTGTTTCCAAAATTAAAGGGAGCTAATTTAGGAAAGGATTTGAATGCTATATTTTGAATCTTGGACTCAAGGGATGGATGATGGCCGGCGGCTTTGGGAAGGGGATTGGGCCGGCGATTGGGTGTCTTTTGGCCTAGGGTTTGGGTGGAGTTTTCGGCCAATATGAGAAAGAGAGATGGGGAAGTGGCGGTTAGGAAAATAAGGAGAATAATAATAAAAAAAAGAAGACAAAACCGCGAGCATTGGACTCTTCCGAAGACTAACGGGTGATACATTGCACTTCACCAAGGAACTTCAAGCCACGAGCCCGGACCCATCCTGTGGCTGGTGAAAACTCCGATTCCTTCCCATAGGAATCTTACTACGTCCTCCCAAAAGAACACAAGTGCAGAACACAAAATTTTATTATAATTCCATTATACCTAATACAAGAGAAGGGTCCTATAAATATAGGCCTCAAAAGAAACAAAAAGATAAATTTGCCCCTTTGGCTTACATAAGACAAGACTCTTAACTAAAAATAGTAAAAAAAGGAAAATTGCAAAATTAAATCAAAAGACAATTAATAAACTAAAATAAAACGGAGTGATCTCGGCCTTTGATCTTCGACTCTTCCTTTGAATATCGTCCACCATCGGATGTCCACATCAGCTAATCACATCCTAGTAATTATAAACTATGGTAGCACTTAATCAATTTGTATTCTTGTTTTCCGATGGAAGCCTTAAAATGTAGCACCAGAACATTGATTATTATAACCTTATATGTATAGATCCATTTAAAATGATCATCTATGTATTCCCCTATCTATGATACGTCAGTGCACCATTAAGGTTTACAAATATTCACTTAATCAGCAAGTTACCGGTAACAGATAAGCTATTGCAGTCAACCATGAAATACTTTATAATTTATATGTTATACCTCAACTGATATTCAAAATTTTGGACTTCAACTGCACACTAAGTTATCCTAGTTTTAACACGCTCAAAATGTCCAGCTTCAAAAGTATGCAGTTAAATCATTAAACTTACCCTGCAGTTACAAACTCTCTAAAAACGGTTAATGGCATTTGTGCTTATTTCAAAATTCAAAATTTTAAACAGCCAGATGCTTTCAAAAGGTCAATAAAATATGTATTCAATAATCCAATTTTACGGCATCTTTTCTCAAACAAATGCCAGATCTCTACAACGACCTCCACATGGAAGTGTGAAAGAACATAAAGAAAAACAGTAATCACATATAAAGTAAAGGTTGGACTTTAGATTCTATCCCAAAAAGGGAAAATAAACGAGTGTCAAATGGAAATATTCACACATAAGCTCATTAGATGCCGATTTTCCAATCAATAACATTACGATATTTATAGGGCTTCTTATTATCCATCATTCTAGCATCTTAGCAGTAACTAAAGGATGAGCAAAAGAACTGGAAATGCATCTTAAGTGCTCAAAGGTGATCTTAAGTTTGCACCAGACAAATGTAGTAAAGCGTTTTAACGACCTAAAACATCATAAGCAAATGTAATCTCGACTTAATAAAGATTGAAAGACATCTTCAGTCCAAAGATACGTAGATAAGTAGTCTAAATACAAAAGTGCAGACATACAGGAAAAATAAAGGCATATGATTTCTGAATGAATATGACTGATGGAAAGAAGAGCATACATTAAGATAGACAGTCACGTCAATGTTTATGATGTCACCATCCTGCATTTGACCATGAGTTTTTAGTCCAATAAAAACTTCAAATCAAATAACTCAAAGTTCTTGCAAATGTAAGTACTTAGCCATCTTACAGAACCTGGAGCTGGCGTGAATCGGGTATACCATGACACATGCATTCATTAACAGATGTGCATACGCTTTTAGGGAAACCACCATATCCAAGAGGTGAAGGATAAGCGCCAGCATCAATGATCATATTGTGCACTGCTTTATCAATTTCATCTGTTGTTATAGAGGGCTGACAGAAACGTATTACATTAGCGTCAATTGCTCATAAAATATCCAAAAGAAGATAAACAAATTAAGAATTTCCATGCACCAAGGTAATTTAACCTATTTCTTCAAATGAGAAATGGAAAAAAGAATGCCTCTATGTAGAATTGAACAAAATCTCAGGAAAGTCAAAAGAGATGATGTGCCAATTGCAATTGCATACAGACATTACCCTTCTATATCAATAATATGCAATAAACCTTCAAATCATGATGATACGGGGTACCAGAAGCACAAGTGATAGACGAAAATTTGTACTGATTCAAAACAACAGGGTTGGGATTTACCCTGACCATCGTTCCTGCAAAATCCAGTACTCGAGCAGAAAGTTCACAGGCAGCTCTCATTTCAGCAATGCCCTCATCATCATGAATTTGATATTCACTAGAGAGTTCTGGCAACTTGTTCGAGCCAACATATGGAGGCTTCAGAATATGATCTGGCACAGGAAGACGTCCAGAAACCTTCCCACGCCTCAATGGTTGCCTCTTTCTTGATTTTGTATTATCCTGTAGCTCTCGTAACCTTAAGGCGATCCAAACATTGAATAAAAAAGGACAAAAGCAGTTAATTACTTGTACGAATCCTTATAAGGTTTGAAAAACAGCAAATTATGACATCAATGAAAAAAAATTCTGGAAAAAGCTGTAAGAAAAAGGGATCACAGCTTGGCTCCAATTTTCATTATTAAAATAACTGAAGCCCAAGCCCCTTCAAGAATAAGTTCCAAAGGAAGGGAAATCTTGCAAGGGATTCTATCTCAATCAATTTTCATAACCCCAAAATACATGCAAATGGTAAATAAAATTCTTTTAGATGATAAAGCATCTAATAAGCATTACTTCAATTACTATTTTTCAGTGCGCTTGCATCAACATTTATCCTCTTAGAAAAGATGATTGATGTTGGATGCTTAAATGAGCGTCTGGTTTTCTTTTTTCCTTCTCATTTTTTCCCCTTTTTGTGTTTGCGTGTGTGCCTACAATAATGATTCCCAATATTTTTAGCCTGGTCATTCCCATCAGTGAATCGTGAAATGGCCAATCATCATCAAAGCTTATAATACAACAAAAGATCTGAGAAAGTATCAGAATTCCTACTAAAAAACACTAAGAATGGAGGAAGAAAAACTATCATAAAGATAAGAAGCTTGAATAAAAATAAGGACTAGGATAGAGAAGCAGGGATATGCTTAAGTTAACATGGATATAAGTTTTTCAAAGTAATTTTGATAAAAGATAATTAAGAAAAAATGCAATTATTGTGGGTTCTGAATCTCTCTAAGTTTTGTGTCGAGCAACATCATGTTTTCATAAGACAAATTGGATATGATTTCTTAGAGATTTCAATATGATGGCTATAGCTTTTACCTATTAGAGAGATTAGATTTCACATGGGCATAAGCCGTCATGCTTATATATATATATAACTCTCAACTAAGGAAGTTAGTTGGCTTTACTCTTTATATTTGGCGGTTGTCAATCTACATATGGAATCTAAAAGTCCCAATGCAAATAGTTATAAGGGTTATACATAAACCTAGTCAAGACCTATGATTTGTCTTTGGGATATTACTTGGGTGAACCTTGGCCAAAAGAGTTAAGAGTGCCTTAGCCATTATAGTTTAGCACTAAGTCAGAGCCTTCTGTTGTAACTATAATAGTTCATGGATCTTGTTGTAACTATTGGGTTCCCTATTAGGTGTGCTAGGTTCACTCATCTGAAGTTAATCACAACGGATCGAAGGTGGATTATGTTAAGGACACAATTTTCATGATAGATCTTGTTTTGCATTATCAACAGAGGCTTTTTTGTGCTAGATAGACTGAGTAGTTAGATTCATAAAACACAGCCAACTGTCTTGAAGGCTTGAACTATGGATGACTTGGTTTGGAGGCTTGAGCCATGAACAACAACAACACAAAATCATGGTATATTAACAGTGGCTAAGAGATACAGCATAGCCAACTTAATTATGTATAGGGAACATTAATCTCCAAAAAAAAGAGCCACATTGGCATATATGATTTTTTCAGATTTGACTTGCTATGTTATATTGGTATCATGCCTTTATGGCAGAATAGTCATTTAATTTATAACATCACTTGTGATATATTATTTGTTACCAAACAGTTTTGGCTCAATAAACAATTCATTGCCAGTTATATTAACCCTTGTGGTGCACCAAAGTATTTGCGGGTTTTTTCAAAGTGATTATATAGTGCCTCCCTACTGCCCTATTGCCCTAGCCAACCTCAGGTGAGTCAAACTAGGGCATATGTGTGATCTTCCTGTAAGTGAAACAGGGAGCGAACAAACTAGTGTGCAGTTCGATCCAGCCAAGCGACATTACGAGAGGGAAAGAAATCAAAGGCAGCAGGTTGGGTTCCCACATCCACCGACCACATCATCGCTGTCGAGAAGCACCTCATGACGCTTGTCACATAAGCCTATGACTATGAGTTCAATTTTTTATTCGTTTATGGGTTGTTTGACAATTTTCCTTTATGTGTTCTTTATGACGCATTAAAATTTTTTGCTTAATTCTTTGTTCTTTCCTGGATTGATTTTTGGTGCAAAGGAGCCATATGCCCAAGCACGAATGCTTAATTTCTAGGTGCAAAGAATCCGTATGTCAATTGAATTAGAGACGACGATTCGATTGGAGATACTTGTGTCCTTATTAAATTGTTACACCTTCAATTTTTTTTTGTGAATAAAGATGAGTGGGGTGAACAAACTGAAGGCTAAATTTAAAAAAGTTTAGAATATGGATTATCAAGTCGAAATCATTTATTTTCCTGAAGCTGTATAGTTATCACCGAATGGCGACTTCTTAAATCATCTTAATTTTAGACTAGGACATTTGTTCACAAAACGGAATGTTTGGGCCAATTCTAGAGTATTTCAAATTATTGAAGGAATATTATCAAGTGAGTTTAGTTTAAGGATTTTTTTTGTTTTCCTTTTTCTGTGATTATACTATGAGTGGTTTGTCGTTCTCATTAGTCATTCCCACTGTTTATAAAAATTTGGTAATTTATCGTGTATATATGACTTCTTAACTTGAAGAAGCTATGATCGATCCTCTAATCAAACATTTGTCTTTTTATGAAATGTGTGTTAGTGACGTTCTATTAACAATCCCATGGTTAACGCTCTTTAACACTAAGCATTTATTTTGAATTTTGTCTTCAATATATTTTTATTTTTTTATATGTTTGCCCCCTAAAAATTAAGTTTGATTCCGCCCCTGTTTTCAAATAAGAGATCTAGGTAGCATTTGTATTAATTTTAGGAGACAGAGGGACTTTAACATTTTTTATTAAGTTGTTCCATGTGGACTTGCATGATTTTGAAGATTGAATCCCAAAGGGTGTTCTAACTGTTTTGGCCCAAATAGTATAACATAAACATTTTGTCATTTTTCTTATGAGACACCAGTTTGTTTATTCAATGAATCATAGAGAAGTACTCGTAAAGCTACATTCAAATAATTAAGCTAAAGATGATAAGTAAGCTAAAGATGATGATGATATTCTACAATTGAAACTCATATATTATTATATCCATTGAGGACCCGGTATTTTCAGGTAAGATGGAAGAAATAACTTAATTCTGAGTAAAAGATACCAGTCAAACATGTATAGCTTTCATAGCTACAAATTGACAAAGTAAGATGGAATCGCAATAACTAGACATTATAGGGAAGATATCGAAAGATTATTATTAGTAATTAATAGCAGGAATAATAATTTCTTTACAGGCAAAACTTGAAAACAGCGTATGCTAAGTGAAGTGCTAGCACTACTCCCAAAATCACCTCAAGATAAACTACCTCTTAATTCTCAAGGCTTCTTCTAACCCGGATAATCTTCTTGATATGATGGTATTGAACCTTTCATTGGCAACTTGACCTATATGAGAGGAATACATGCATTATCATATAAAAACGCATCAAATAAATTATGAAAAGAAGAAAAAAAAAAAAAAAAAAACATCGGCAGTTTTCAAGAAGAAGAAAGTATTCCATTTCAGAATTGAATAAATAAATGAAAAAAACAGCCATATAGCCTAAACATTTTTCAAGAAAAAAATAGTAAAAATATAGGATGGTAAAGACAGTAATTATTTTGTATGTGTTAGGCGTACAGTTTCTTAGAATCATTGTAGGTAGAAGGGGAGCAATTAATCACACACTAATAGGTTATTAGAATAACTCTAACCAAGAAGAGGTCCTCTCACTTTCAAAGTTCCTTAATTGATATTTAGAATTCTAAAATCTTTATTTAGGCAGGGAGCTTGTCGATGGTGAACTAGACCACTGATGGACCGGCTAATTTGATTGGAAGGGAATTAGGAAGTTTCCTAATCAAGAGGGAGATGTTTATGAAGATTCTTAATCAAAGGGGAATTATTTAGGAATATTTAAATTAAAATTGGAAAGGAATTATTTACGCAAGAGATCTAATTTGAATTCAAAATCTAAGAGGAAATTATTTAGAGAAAAGGTGGACTAATTAAGGAAGGATTGTTTAGGAAAGTTTTAATTATAATTGGGAGTGAATTAATTAGAGAAATAAATCTAATTTGAATCCAAATCTGAAAGGGAATTATTTAGAGAAAAGGGGCTGATTTGGGAGGGAATTATGGGAGCCTATTTAAGACTAACAATAGGGTGATTTCAAATTATGTTTTGGGAGTTAGCTGAATTTAATTTATTCTTAAGTTATTTTGGCTCTAGCCAGCGGCTAGGGATTTGGGAGAGCAGGATTTTTCTCTCCAATTGAAGATTCAATTGTATCTTGCTATTTTCTTTCATATATCTTGTAATAAAAATAATTTTGGTGTGTTTTTCTTCCTAATTTCATATTGTCGTTTGCTGATTTCGAGAAAATTGCATCCACTTTCTATCAAAGTGGTATTATAACACTTTTTTAGGACCTATAGCGACAAAGAAAGTTGATGCCTTGAAAGAGCGTTTTAAAGGAAAAGTTGACCAATTCAAATCGGCATTTGAGGATAGAATGACATCAATGGAGAAAAAGTTTTCCAACCTAGAAGGAATGATACGGAAACTATTGGAGCTTCACACCCAAACTGATTACATCATAGGCGAGAGCACCGTTGATTGAATTGGGAAGTGTGGGAAATCCTAATATAGGGACGATGAGGGAGAATAGGGAGGTAGAAGTTTTGGGGGAAAAAGAGGAGATGCCATCTTTGGAGCCATTTCCAAGGAAGGGAAAAAGTGAAGGAATGAGATTTTTTGTGGAGCTGTAGAGTTTGGAATGTGAAGAAGATGGGGAGAAGATTGAAGCATCAGACATGGTTCAGCTACTCCAACAACTTTCTCGAGAGGTGATCTAACCAGTTTAGGGGTTGCCTCCACAGGAATGCGAGCATGTGATCATCTTAAAGGAAGGAGTCTCACATATCAAAGTTGACGTTTTTTTTTTTTTTTTTTTTTGTCGTTTTTTTTTTTTTTTTTTTGCATCGCCCCGGCCCCGATCGAGCCGATTTGAGCCTGACTGGGCTCGATCGTGCTCGTTCAACTCGACCGAGCACCGTTGAATGTAAATTGACCTGAATCGAGCCTCAGTTTAATCAGATTAAACTCAATTTTCTCAAATTAAACTCAAATCGGTTGAGACAGACCCAAATCGGTCCAAATAGAACCCAATTGAACCTCGTCGAACTAAATTTGACGTAAATTGGCGCCGATTCATGCCCAATTTTGCAAAATTGGCTCGATCGGACCCGAATCAACCCAAATTGATTCAGATCGAGTCCAATTCATGCTCAATTTCAGCCATAATTGATCAAATCTTTGTAATTTGACCTTTCCGAATAAGGAAACCCAATCCAACGATCCAAATTGAACTGAGTTAGTCACAAGCAAAGTTTTATTTAGCTTAGAGGACAATTTGAGCATGCAAGATATACATGAATCAACTTTTGGAATTGTGTTAGCGTGAACTATACAAGGAATGTATTAGATGTTAGCCTAAGAGTTTCTTAGGCGGGAAGAAAAGACAAAGCAGAGATTCAATTGAGAAGAAAGTAAAACTAATTTTTCATTCCTTCTAAGAACCAATACAGAGGTATATATAGAATACAAGATAAGATGTCGTACAGTTGTAACGGCCGTACGAATACATATTTACAAAGTTTGTTCATTATCTCTATTTCCTAACATTAGAGCAGATACAAGTTCCCAAAAGAATCAGATACAAAACTCATATTCGTTTCGATCAGGCAGTTATTTAGGAATAATTTCCATTATGTTAATGTATGTTATGCAGCATTATTTCTTTACGAGAAGAGGACTACATTCTCTTCGCGTGTATATCTATTGCCCATATTTATATAACCTGTATTACATAAAAAATATGAAAAAAAAAGGAGAAGTTTGCCTTTTCATACAATAAAAAAACATATTAGGTTTAAAACGGATCAAATTACATTTATCCTTAATAAGCTAAAATTAAGGTCAATCAATACAAAATTCCAAAATAACTTTAAAAGTTATAACCTCACTGTACTTAAGCTAAAGCTACACGAGGGATAAGCCTCGTGAAAATTAAATCTTGCACTTGAAGGTTTTATGAACAACAGAAGATGGGTTTTGAAACACGAAGGATTCAATTTCTTCCGCTCAGTGGATAAGTATCGCTTACCTAATATGGAAAAGACCGCCCAAATAATACAAAACTTTTACAGTCTATAAACCTATAGAAAATGCAGAAAGCAATAAACTAGGTTGCCACTAGCATTCATACCAGGTGCAGCGGGAAGGAAGCCAATGAGAGAGTCGCCCCCGAGGAAAGCTTTCTCCGAGATAAATCTCACGGAACAAGGCGGTAGCGACAACCTCGGCGTCCCGGCAAGTAGCTTCGCAGCCATCTCTGGATAAGAGACGAGAGAGAACCTAAGGCCGCGGGAAATGGATGGATGTTCCAAGCGCGCGGAGCAATACCATGGCGAGCCGGTCGGGTAAGGCAGAAGATATTACAGTGGATTGAATAAGAGGAAGGCTTGTTGGATAGACCGATAGAGGTATATTAAATTAGATTTTTCTTTTAAAATATTAGAAACTGAATCAATTAAAATTTTTCTTTGATCGTTGGATTTGATAATGAATGAATAATTTAATTACAATTTCTTAAATATTTTATTTTAAGAAGAATATCTCGCATTCATCATTAAATTTATAATTTTATCATATGAAATAAATATTATTGATAAGTCATTAGAAAATTCATTCAATCAAATATAAATTTTAATACAATATTTAAAATACAAACTTCTAGAATCAAATTCAAGATCATTTGAATTTTGATTTCAATAAACTTATAATCAAAATGAACATTTCGATGCAAATGACAAAAAAATATTTCAATCTACATCAAAATGAACCTAAACAAAGCATTTAAAATATAATTGAAAACTTCATGCTTAAATGATCAAATGATATGTGAATTTTGCCTCCTAGTCAAAATAAATGTATTGATGAGAGAAATCCAACAAGCATAAAATTACTCAATTTTTAAGTTATCAAGGCACATGAATGCTGAAAAATAGTCCATGGACGAAAGAATCAACACAGACCATTTGATGGAATGTTTTTGAGAAATTTGGCTAGCTAGAAAAACAACATTTCAAAAAATTATAAAAGACTCATTCTCTACATGAATGTGAAGATGGAAACTTTATTTGAAATCAGAAAGAGCTTGGAGATCCACAAAACTCTCCAAACATTCAGCACTAGCAATCACCTCCAACAATCATTGTTGTTATAATATTGTCTCCTGATTATCGGTGCCCAATTTACGCTCCTCGAGTACCATTTGTCTAATCCAACTACGATCGTATGATCACTATCTTAACTTAATTATGTGTTTTTTATATTTTTTCGATCAAATTTATATTTTCGTTACCGAAAAAATGATGATAACTTTGTTTTGGTAAAACTTTCACCACGTAACTTTTTATATGTTGTAGATATTGTGATTATGAACATTTTTAGTATATTTTGGAAATTTTTCTCCGTGTGATATTAAAAAGCCAGCGATTTTTGCCTACTCAAAAATTTATTTTCACATCTAAAAATAGTGCTTCAGTTCAATTAAAACTTATTGGTGGAATTTTGAAAATTAGGTTTTTTTTCTTTGAAAATTTGAAATTGACTTTTATATTTGAATTTTGACATCAAACGTCCCATTAGAAAAATCATACCACTTCGAGAAGTTGAAATAAATTGAAATAAAATTTCAAAATGGGGTTTGAATCTAAAATTATGAATCCTACTTTGAATATCATAACCAGATCCAAGACAAAACTGCATATGACCTCGAAAGGTCAAAATGGAGTTCGATCTAATTTCTAACTATGATATTCTAAGTAGACTATCATTGATCTCATGCCCAAAACCTTATGAACAAATGATATATCTCCCCTAAGAAAAAAGATACCACTGTTTGACAATTATTCGGGCATGACGATAGCTGTGATAGCCCACTGAGCTATGTTAGCTCATTCCTACTTTTGCTCTTATTTTCAGACCCGAGAAAGGGTAAGGAGCAAGCTGAGTAGTTGGGATAGCATACTCTGATCTGTGTCGTATGTATGTTTTGCTAGTTTTGATTTTTGCAGGCTTGACTTTTATTTTTTGTTGTGCTCATTATTGTCGAGCACTGTTATAGATAGATTTCAGATTATATATATTTTGGATTATATATAAAAAAATCATGTTGAGATTTATAAGTCTTTCATTTTATAGTGCATTTAATAGTGGCTCTATGTAGTATATAAATTGAAATTTTTGTTTCAGTACTTCTCCAACCAGATCTTGGGGTCAATCTTATCACAATCAAATACAATATGACCTGTGTGATATCGGGTCATATCGGGTCGGATTGTGACACCACACGCCATCGACATAAGTGTAGATGCACACTAACATCATCACCCAACATTACATAAACATTTACAACCTAACTTTGTGACCAATGATGTTGACACACACCTTTACTTATTAGTACGTTGATGGACACAATTGGCACAAACTCCAATGCCTACTCACATCATTGAGAACATTATCATGACATACCATTGCATATAATGTTGATCAGTTGATTCATGCAAATAACAAAAACACTGATGCCAATCAATTTTGCCACTTATCATTGTTTATAAGGTTTATCCACGCTATCAACACAAATGCCAATACTTGGTGTCACTAACAATATCAATACATGTGATGTAGTGGATCGTTGGAAGACTCGACCTGCAAGAAGGATTTCGGTTTCCCAATCCAGGGAAGAAGAAGAAGAAAGCTCTAAGGCTTCAAAGACTAATATTTCATTCCATAAGTCCTTTCCTCTTACACATTCCATATATATAATACTAAAGTAAGAAAAATCTAGAGAAACTTAGAAGATTCTAGAAAGCTTGTAACAAACTACATAACATATGTCTAAGGAACGATTTAAGATAAAATGCTCCGCATCATTCTCCCATTGCGTCAAAAGAGTTTGACTCCGTCGAGGCTCTCCATCGGGAGAAAGATAGATGTAGAAATTATGATCAATCCTCCTGGGTCGAAGACTTTGTGTCCACGATAAATGTTCGCAAGCTTATTCGTTGATGAATATCTAAACAAGTTCTGAACCAATCCTTTCTGATCTTTGCGGGACTTGCGACACTTTGACACAAATATGTTGAATGTATAGAAATTGAGCGACATCTCTGCATAAGTAGCAACATCAATCTGCCCAGCCTTCAAATATCCATCCAAAAGGACATTATAAGTAATAATATGTGTCTCAGACCCATATTCTATGATTTGATCAAATACACAGAGCGCTTTCATAACAATATCACTACTGTAAGCATCCGGCTCGAAGTTGTACTTTGGAAACAGCCAAACAAACCCTTCCTTTGTTGCAACTATTTATTTGAGGCATGATCCAAGAATCATTGTATCCATATAATATACATCATGCAACTCTTTCATCTCTTCAAAAATCTCAACAGCTTCATCAATATACCCAACGTCAGCATAAATAAACAAAAGTATGTTATATAAAACCACATTGGCATCCACGACATACCAAGATTGGGAATAAGCTTTGAGAAGCAAATAATAAGTAATCATATTTGGTACTATCCTTTTACCAACCATCTCCTTATAAATGTTCTTCACTTGCCATGGCCTTCCACATCTACCTATGGCCTCCAACATCTTGTTGTGAGTGAACGACTTTGGCTTCACATCACGTTCTTTCATTTCCTCAAATACATTGAGTGCACCATTGAAATGTCCAGAAGCTCCATAAACTCCAAACATAGTCACAAAGGTAGCAAGATCAAGATTCCATTTTCCTTTGAGCTCATGATATAGAGCACGAGCCATATCCACATTGCCCAAGTGACCATAAGCATTGACTGAGTGGGGGACATCATATGGACTATATCCGAATTCTGGCATCTTCTCAAACCACTCCACCATTTTCTGCATCATTCCATAAGCTTGATCTAGTTTTCCAATCCTCCCAGGTTTGCATAAGCCATTAATAAGGGCGTTGAAGGTGAAGTTGAAAAGATGAAAGATGATAATATCAGGTCCAAGAGCGTAATCGATTGAGGAAGGGATATGACCAAAGAGGTAATTGCCAGATAAGGTGATCTTGGATGAGATCCTAAATTTGCGGTGTCAGGGAGTCCGCCCGGCAGTAGATTGCCATTAAGTTTGTTAGAAGAATAATCAAGTATTTGGAGAAGGCCATCCATGCTTTGCCGTTGCAGAATGCTACCAATAATTTCTTTTTTCCAGAGCTGAAACGCTTCAAGCTTCGGAAGATCATCTATGAAGTCCGTGATACTTCCATAGATCTTGCTTAGGAGGAGTATCAACAGTTTGATCTGTGTAGGGCCGGCGACGGGTGTGGGTAGGCGTGCGGGCTGAGTGAGTGTTAGATGTGGGATCGCGGCCTGGTCGCGATCATCATCAGTCTCGCGTGAGCAGCAGGGGCCGGATCTCGCGTGGACGGGAGGAGGGGGCCGGGTAAACGGCGGAGTCAGAATGGCTTCTGCCTGCGTGATCAAATGTTTGGGTCTTCGCTGCAGAGAAGTCGAGAGAGCGGGGAAATCGATCCTGTATGAGCGAAGGAGCCGATGCCACACTGAGTGGGAGCGTGAGCTGAATTGAATCGGTAGGCACTCGGATCTGGGATTCAAGTTGGATATTGTGTGCTGGAAGCCGAGGAGGTCCTTCGAAACCCTCTCCCTCGACCAAGTGGACATCAGCATCGATGCGAGACTCAGGGCACACGGGCAAATTTAATCGGGAAATTGTTTGCGGCGGGCGCGTGTGGGGCTTAGCATGCTGGAGTCCGGGAATGGTCAAGAGTTCCGAAGACAGGTGCTGTGTTGGATTGGGGGAAGAATCCGAGGCAGAATGCTAGTTGGCGGAGCAGAGTAATGGGGTCAGTATGGTTGCCGACCTGCTCATAATCGTTTCCACTGAATGCATGAAATCAACACATAAAGCATCTATTCGATCGATTGATGCTTCCACTCGAGCAACTCGAAGGGCTTCACAACGTCGATCATGGTAGATAGCCCTTTTTCTTTGACGACTATCTTCGTCAGGATAGTGGGGCGGCAGATCTCGCCATGGGAGTGAAAGTTGGAGTGGAGGAGAGTAGTCTTCTTCGTCGTCGACCACCCATCTCCTTCGACGTCAATCTTCGTCGACTGCCCATCTCCTTCGGCGGCGATCTTCGTCGATTGTCCATCTCCTTCGGTGGAGATCTTCATCGACCGCCCATCTTATTCGGCGTCGATCTTCATCGACCGCCCATTTTCTTCGGCTTCGAACGTCTTCGACAGCCGACCTTCTTCTGCATTCCATCGATCTTCGCAAGCTCCAGGCTCCGATACCAACTGATGTAGTGGATCGTCGGAAGACTCGACCTGCAAGAAGGATTTCAGTTTTCCCAATCCATGGAAGAAGAAGAAGAAGAAAGCTCTAAGGCTTCAAAGACTAATATTTCATTCCATAAGTCCTTTCCTCTTACACATTCCATATATATAATACTAAAGTAAGAAAAACCTAGAGAATCCTAGAAGATTCTAGAAAGCTTGTAACAAACTAGATAACATATGTCTAAGGAACGATTTAAGATAAAATGCTCCGCATCAACATGTCATTACTTATAAGACTAACACACAATGTTGTCAATAAAGTCCAATAGCCATCAATTTTATCATTCATCATTATCAACAAAATCAACTCACAAAATTTGTTTTGTATATGAGCGATGTTTGAGAGCTGGAAGAGCTAAAGACCTCTATTATATTGATAGTCGCTCGCCAATGTTGTATAATCATTCTATCCTCCATCACTTCTTCTATAATTCTTACAATAAAAATCAAATTATCATCCTCAATTGTGTAAATCCATCTTCTTTCATTGTGGGGAAAAGTGAACTCTTATTTTTTTATCTATATTATTGAATATTTTAACTTGCTCATGCCCCATAATTTTTCTTCTTTTTTTTATTTTTCACACTAAATTTTCATACAAAACTAAGTTAATAAACACATACTCTCTATCATAGAAATTTTCTAGCACGTAATGTTCTAAATATTATGATATATCATAAATTACGTTTTTAGCTCATTATATTTTTAACAAATTATGATATAAATTTCTAGTACGTAACAATGTTTAAAGGGTAACATGTTCTAAATATTATGAGATATCATAAATTATATTTTTTATTCATTATGTTCTTAACAAATTATGATATTAACATTATTGGTATAATTAATTACTAGAATCATTTTCCTTATCACTATCATGATTGTAAAATTAGTAAATATATTTATTTAAAATTTGAGTAGAATTTTTGATTATGACAATAATCATATTCATAATTTCTATGTACTAGAATATTTGTGGTAGTAGAATATATATTTAATTTGTTAGATATGTACAAAAATCTAGTGCGTACATATAGAAGTGTAAGGGACCAAAGTTTTTCGTATGAAAAATTTAATAAGGGAAGAAATCATCGGTATGGCTCACACGTAATAATCCACTATATGATTTAATGTATAAGAATTTGCTCTTCTCCGCATTTGAAGAAAACGAGATTACATAATATAAAATAACTAATTGATTCGTATTATATGTATTGCCGAATGTTGGTGTCCATAAGTGGATATTTAAAGCCTAACAATAGGATTAGACATTAATAGTAAAGTTATAATAGTCACTAGTAAGATAAGAAAATTTTGGTGATAATGATAAAGATTATTGATGATGGCGATTGAAGTGATAACCAGAAAATATAATAGAGTTTTTAGCTCTCTTAGCCCTGAGAGTCTGAGACCTCTCACAAGGTGGAAAATGAAGCCTTATTTAAGCTTATTTTAGAGGGTTAATTTCCTAAATTTCTCCAGTATTCAGAACACTCTATCAAACAATCATATTAACTCCCTTGATCAGAAATTATTTATCCAGCATTTGACTATCTTAATGATATCATAATTAAAATAATTTTAAGATCATAAGATTTTTCTAATTTTTTGCTTGATTTTACTGTAAGCATGTAAGATTTAAAAACCATTTGGTTTTTTATTAATATTCAAAAATTTTCAAATATGCTTCAAGTGCTTCTTGATTGGAGTTCACTTGGACTCAAATTAAAAAATTTGTAGTGTCGATGGATTCGACTCATCAAGATGTTCAATTTGAATATAAATTTATTGAAATTGGAGTTAAAATAACCTTGAATTTATTTACAAAAGTTTTCCATTCAAATATCATTTGTGCCAATCAAGCAAATTTACGAAGACTTATCAATAATAATGGATGATATCAGTCCGAATAAAATAAAAAACTTATATTCAAAAGAGAGATTATTTATCCAGCATTTGACAATCGTGATCTCAACTTGTTTATACTTAGTTTTTTCGTTTGAATTTGGTGTTATTTTGTCACATCAGTCAATGATCAAAGAAGATGCGTCCACATTCGTTTCTACATAAACTAAATGGTATTTATTGCCTTCCTTTTTTTCTTGAATTTAATCATATTATAAATAATTTTTTTACTAAAAACAAAAAATCTTTCCGATTTGCCTTTTCCAAAATATTTCAACAATGGTCCGAAGTAAAAATTGAGGCTGAAGAGAGAATATTTATTTGATCCGGTCACATGACGTAGCTCTACGTTCGGCCGTCAGTAGAATCGCGCCACGCTTTCTTACTATTTACCGCGCACCCCGACAACCCGACCTGGAACAAACCCATGATGGCTCGGTATTTCTCGATTTTGCTAGGTATTGCTCGGTATTGCTAGGTATTGGTCGATTTTGCTCGACAAAAATCAATACCGAGCAATACCTAGCAAAACTTGGTACAACTCGGTATTGCTCGGTATTGGTCTTCACAGAGCGGTATTTCTCATTATTGCCAAGCAATATCGAGCAAATAGCGAGTAATACCTCGCAATACGCGAACATAGCATTCCTGGGTTCCGGTCCGGGTCAAGTCGTCAGGCCGCGCGGTAAAGAGTAAGAGCACGTGGCGACATGTTATTGGCAGCCGAACGTAGCTCTACGTCCAATCAGAGGACGTAATAATTGTTCCTGAAGAGATGGTCAACTAGCAAAGCTTAGGTGCTTTCAAATAATTTTTTAATACAAAAAAAATTAGTTTAAAAAAATTTATACTAAAAGATTATTTAAAAAAAAAATTGTCTCAAATCAAGCATTAATGATTTTCAATAATTTTGTAAAAGCTTCTTACATATGTCATAGCATTTGAAATTTACCAATATATATACAAATTTATTTTATTAGAAAAATATATTTTAAACTTCTTTTGAGACTATGAGCCTATTTGGAGCAGCTTTCTATATATAATATATGCTTAGCTTTTCAAGCTTCAACCACACATCCTTTATACTTATCATTTTTTTGTTGCTTACTAAAAAAATTGTGGTGGTAATTTGCTTTTTGAAACTAGATCTACTAATACGTTAGGTGTAACAAAGCCCTAGTTAATTTTTTAAAAAATTATAATAACCATAGAATTTTTTTTTTTAATATTACTTTATCCATAACAACTTCACAGTCATTTTTATGAAAAGTTGCATCGGCCCAAACAAACCCTACATTATCCCACTATTGTATTCTTGAATTGCTAGGGCTGTCAAAATTGGGTCACGAATCGGGTTCGGGTTGAACGCGGAACTGACCCGATGCAGATTGACCTGACTCGAACCTGACTCGTTTTTGCAAACATGTCACTTTTTCGGACCCGAACCCGACTCGCTTTGAATCCGGGTCAACCCGACACGATCCGCCAACCCGGGTCACGAGCTTGTCTTCAAACACTATCGATGGTGGGCTGGAGAGGATGGCGGAGGCAGGAACAGAGGTTACAAATGGTGGAGGAGGTGATGGTTGAGCGAACAGACGAGGCAGCATCAATGTGGCGGGACGC